ACGAGACACATGGGTGGGAAACGCCCCCTCTACCAGAGCTACATCCGAGGCAGTACGGGGGATTTAAGGGCCAGAATTTGATTTCACTTTACTAACCACTGTTCCTCCATGCACTTTTAAATTTAAATTTATTTTTTTAAAGTTTTATTTTTTTAACAGAGTGTAATAATAATTATTCAACAAAAACATGTTGTCTGAGTATCTTATTCACTAATACAAATTAAATTCCTAATTCCTAAATCTTTTCTCTAACCATTGATAAAATAGGTCCCAAGTTTGAAAATATTCTGTTTCTTCTTTTTCTTTCAACTTTAAAGTAAGTCTGTCCATTTCCGTACAGTCTAATATTTTTTTTATTATTGCTTCTTCTGGTGGTATTTCTTCGTTCTTCCAGTATTGTGCAAATATAATTCTTGCCGCTCTTATCACATGTAGAATCAAACATGTACTTTGCTTATCAAGTTTTTCTGGCATTATACCTAGTAAAAAAAATCAAGTTTATAGTCTATGTGTTCCTCTAACATTTTTTTCTAACCAAGTGTGGATTATTGTCCAATATCTCCTTGCTTCAAGACATGTCCACCACATATGATAATAAATACCTGGTTTGTGTTTACATTTCCAACATTCTCTGACATGTTTTTAAACATTTTTGCTAATCTTGGTGGTGGCAAATGCCATCTATAAACATTTTATATAAATTTAAATTTAATGTAAGTTTATAGGTCAGTAGTTTTTCAAGCTTGGCAATTTTAGGCTGTAGGGACTTCAGCTCCCCGAATTTCCCAGCCAGCATGCTTTAGATCACGGGTGTCAAACTTGATCGCATCACGTGACGTATTATGACATATTGTGACATTTTTTGCTTTTGAGAAGCTGGGATGAGCGTGACATGGATGTGACGTATCCGGCCCGCGGGCCACCAGTTTGACACCCCTTCTTTAGATCTTTTTTAAATGCATCCAATGATGTAATTGAGCTGCAATTGGGTGAAGAGTCTTTTATAATTACGGCAATGGAATAATAACAGAAGAAATAATGGAGAGGTATAATGGATGGTCAGACAATGATAATTCTAGGACTTTTTGGGGACACTATGTTCTTTTTTTTAACACATTTTACTGGTTTTTTTTAGATTCTTAAGAAAAAGTACTCAAGACCCACCATGGTGGTTGGGTGGTCCAACATAACATATATAAACAAGTTAACTCAATACATTTCGCTATCCCCTCTCTATTTCCCTCGATTAACATGATACATTTAAATATTCCATTTCTATTTTAAATTTCTATTACTACTAAACCTGTTTTATAACTTTAGGGGACACTATGTTCTGAAGGCATCTACCCAAATGGTTTGGCAAATGTCAACTTGCTGACTTGCTAGCAAAAATATGTATCTTGTTCCTCAAATCCAGTTCAGGCCAAGAGGATTGCAAAAGGCTAACATTTTTTTAAAAAGAGAGATTTAGGGAAGGTTTTTTGAAATGTCAGCCCTAAATTGTAGCTAGAAATGGTAATCAGAGAAAAAAAAAATTCTAAGCCCCAGAGAAATTTTTTTAAAAACTTGATAAAAACTCCTTTTCTTAAAAAAAATAGTACAATTGTATTAAGAATTTGCTTTATAATAGTAAAATCTAATATAAACTAAATTTTTTAAAAAGTGGAGAGAAAGGAGAAAAAGAGAACAGAGAACAAAAAGAAAAATAAGGAAATAATAAAGGAAAGGAAAAGAAGTATATAAAGAAGTCACTTCCAAATTTCATTGCAAGAATAAAAAATTTAATCACCCCGAGTAAGGTTACAAACAATTATTTCTTAATTCCATATTCCATCCGTCTTCTCAATCCTGATGTTAGCAGAAATTCCAGAAATAACAACATACAGTATCTTGTTCTAACCTTGATCAAATAAACCAATTTTATATTCCTTCCTTTTGCTTCTCCCAGTTTTAATCTTTAGTTCATTTAAATGTTGTCACAGGATTTGATTTCTCTTCATTTTCTTCTTAGCCCATTATACAGAGTTTTTCATGGCTTGAAGTAAACTTGCCCAATGAAGACTTTTCAAACCTGTCTTTCTGAAGGTTTCTGATAGCTTTAGAATACAGTAATTAATAGGCAACAAAAGTACGTATAGTCAAGACCATGGTTTTCCCAGTTGCAATGTATGGCTGTGAAAGTTGGACCATAAGAAAGGCTGAGCGCCAAAGAATTGAGGCCTTTGAACTATGGGGCTGGAGAAGACTCCTACGAGTCCCCTGGACTGCAGGGTGCTCAAACCAGTCAGTCTTAGAAAAGATCAACCCTGCCTGCTTTTTAGAAGGCCAGATCCTGAAGTGGAAACTCAAGTAATTTGGCCACCTAATGAGAAGGAAGGACTCATTGGAGAAGAGCCTAATGCTGGGAAAGATTGAGGGCAATAGAAGAAGGGGACAACAGAGAATGAGGTGGCTGGAGGGAGTCACTGAAGCAGTAGGTGTGAGCTTAAATGGACTCCAGAAGATGGTAGAGGACAGGAAGACCTGGAGGAACGTTGTCCATGGGGACGCGATGGGTTGGACACGACTTTGCAACTAATAACAACCACAATTAGTAGGCAATTTCTGAAAGTCTCCACAGCAAGTGAGATGGCTAATCTCATTGTCTCCTGTTGTTCAAACCCACAGAAACCCACTGTGGTCTCTTTGAGAGATGCAGGCATCAAGAGCGCACGTGGGCAGTCTCCCATCCTCTCCTTTTTCAAAGAGGTTCCAAGGAACAGATCTTCTCACCTATTTCTTGATCTTTGCTGTGATTGTCAGCTCTACAGAACAAGTGGCCATACCCCCCCCCCAAAGTCCCCCAAACTTACTTAAAATTCCTAAGCCATGGGGGGGGGGAGAAAACTTGCTAAAGGATATCACTATATATTTTTATTACTTTTTGATTGGGTGTTTTATGATCTTATCTGTGTTTAATTATTGTTTATAGCTGTGTAAAATTACTGCAGACATTTTATTGTTGATACTTCAACACGTCAAGAATCTCTTGATTATGGCAGCTAAAAAAGAAGAAATATCAATAAATAAGAGTACCAGCATGTACTCTGCAAAGTTAAAAGTTGTTGTTTCCTTACCCACCTCCTGAGCTTTTTTGAGAATGAATGGAGGTAACTCTGTCAACAGTGCATGCCCGGGTTTTCAAAAAGCCTTAGATCTTTATCAAAGGCTGTTGGTAAACTGAGCAGCCATGGAGCTAAAAGGACCTATCTTTTCACAGATTGCTTTCTTGTTAGCAAAGAAAACATAAAGGGTAAGAACTAATGGGCAAGTTTTTCAATGGAGCGAAGTAAGAACTGAGCTTTGTTAAAGATCTGCGTTGCCTTGCAACCAATGCCTTAATAAGTCTTCTTGACATAAGGATAAGATGATTAGTGTAATTGTTCAGTGTGATAAAACCAAATGCAATTGTCAAGAGCTCACCAGGTTGAAGCGGTGAATGTTAAAATGTGAATGTGGAAATTAAATTGGTAAATGGTCAATCAAATATGGTTCATTTTAATTATGGGAAACGACTGAGTTGTTTTCTTCCCTTCTGAGTACACAAAAGCCATTGTGTAAGAATTTGATGTCCTTTCAAAGGTAAAGGGACAAAAACATGCAAATACTATCCCAAAGCCAGGAAAAAGCTCAGTCGATCCTGGTCCCAGCCATGGATCTAACAAATATAGAACCACTATCTAACAAAATGAAATTCAATGGTGAAAAAAGCAAGATTCTACATTTAGGCAAGAAAAACCAAATGCACAGGTATGGCATAGGTCAGGGTTGTCAAACTGCCAGCCTGCGGGCTGGATGCATCATGCCGAAACCACCCCACCCCATTGCTGGCAATGGAAAAAAAGTCGCAATACTTTGCGCCACATCACATGATGTTGCGAGTTTGACACCCCTGGTATAGGTGGTACCTTCCTCAATAGTAGCAACTGTGAGAAGGATCTCAGAGTCCTAGTGGACAATCACTTAAATATCAGCCAGCAGCGTGCTACAGCTGCCAAAAAAAGCCAACACAGTGCTAGGCTGCATTAACAGAGGGACAGAATCAACATCACATGAAGTGTTAATACCACTTTATAATGCCTTGGTAAGGCCACACTTGGAATACTGCATCCAGTTTTGGTTACCAAGATGTAAAAAAGATGTTGAGATTCTAGAAAGAGTACAGAGAAGTTGCTGGAATTGGGTATGTCTAGTCTAATGAAGAGAAGATCGAGGGGGGACATGATAGCAGTGTTCCAATATCTCAGGGGCTGCCACAAAGAAGAGGGAGTCAAGCTATTCTCTAAGGCACTTGAAAGCAGGACAAGAAGCAACGAGTTGAAACTAACCAAAGAGAGAAGCAACCTAGAACTAAGGAGAAACTTCCTGACAGTTAGAACAATTAACCAGTGGAACAACCTGCCTCTAGAAGCGGTGAATGCTCCAACACTGGAAGTTTTTAAGAAGAGACTGGACAGCCATTTGTCTGAAATGGTATAGGATTTCCCAGGGGGTTGGACTAGATGACCTCCAAGGTCCCTTCCAACATTATTATTATTATTATTATTATTATTGTTGTTGTTGTTGTTGTTGTTGTTGTTATGTTGCATCACTGCACTCAGCTATTCTCCAGGAATGTTAAGGGTGGCCCTCAATGCCACTGGAAAGTTTGTCCCACAAAATTTGCCACAATGCCACATCTGCCCTAAGGGGACTTTGGGTTCTCAGCTGCTCCCAGGAGGCATCTTGGATGCTCACAGAATTAGCCGCCAGAGGCCTGCTTAGTGTGAATGCCAGCCATGTGCTGTGGGTCATGGTTAGGCTCCACACTTAGTGTTAAGCCATATGGCTTACTTAGTTTTGAGTTCTCTGGTCTTCCAATTTCCATTTTTTTCCCTTTTTTGTTGAGCTTGTAAAAACTAAGCATTGACGGGAACGATGGCCCTCACTATGAAATATTCTTGCTTTTCCCGATACTTCAGGTTGGTGTTGGTTGCCCCCAGTGTGGTGACAGTGGGAACAGATGTGCGGATTGTGCTTCAAGTTGACGGTGCTTCCTCAGACCTCAAAGGGCACGTCTTTTTCCAAAATGAGTTGACTGGAAAAAAATGTTCTGAAGAAAAACCATTCAGTCTTCCGTTCAACCCTCCTGATCCATCCAAAAAATTTGTGCAAGATGTGACCTTGAAGGTAAGAGAGGAAACTTTGCATGTCCACCCCTAGGAAAGAAAAGAAATGCTAAACCATCATTGGATTTGTTTGATGGTGGCTTGGTGTCCCCCCCCCGCAGCCTGGGGTGTCCTTCCCCAGATGTGGGAGCTTTAAACTCCTACATCTTTTCTATGGCACGAGTGCCAGAGGCAGCAGTCGGAGTCCTCTCTGTGGGCACACGTGCCGTTGCCCCAGCTTGCCTCCCCCGTGACCCCCTCCTTACCAGCAGCCCTCCTGGAGGAGAGTTGCCCCCGAGCGTGGCCCACGCAGAGCAGGGCAGCCAAGGACATGGCAGCCAGACAGAGTAGACAAGACTCTGCCCTCACGCCCCATCGTGCATTAGTTGATGCTGCGGGGTGTGGGCAGAAGGTGTGGCCGCCATGGCGCTGCTGGGCGATCTGCAGTGGGCCCTGGAGGCAGTGAGTGGCCCTGCGGGCAGGTGGGGTGGGCGGGGAAGGGGCAGGGCAGGGGTGGAGTGGGGGTGGGTCCAGTTTTTGGACACTCAGTCTCTAAAATGTTCGCCATCACTGAGTTAAAGTCTACACATCTGGAGGATACTCAGGCTAGGGCAGGGGTAGGCAACCTTGGCTCTTTTATGACTCGTGGACTTCAACTCCCAGAATTCCTGAGCCAGCCATGCTGAGGAGAAAGGGAGAGGTTTCCAAGCTGAGCCAAGCTGGCTCACGAATTCTGGGAGTTGAAGTCCACGAGTCATAAAAGAGCCACGGTTGCCTACCCCTGCCCTAGGGAAAGCTGATTCAGCATGTTCTATGACAGAAGTCTTCAACTTTTGAGGCACCAGGGACCGGTTACCTGGAGAGACGTTTTTCCACAGACTGGAGTGGGTGTGGTTTTATGTGCTGCCTGCATCCCACGGATGGGGCTTTGTTTGTGTGGCCCAGTTGCTGGCATGCCGCGGCCCAGTACTCGTCCACGGACCCGGGGTTGGAGACCCCTGTTCTATGATACCAGATCTTGTGCTTTACAACACAAGATTTGGATGAAAAACAACACTTTCCCTTAAAAACTACAGGTAGTCCTTGCTTATTGACTGTTCATTTAGGAACTGTTTGAAATTACGATGGCATTGAAAAAAGTGACTTAACGACCAGTCTTCATGCTTATGGGTATTTTCAACAACACCCAATGTCACATGATCGCAATCTGAGTGCGTGGCAATGTTTGATCTGTTTTCTTCTCTGTTTGTTTGGTACTTTGAGGGAAACTGTTAAGGAAAAAAAATGGATCCAAAAGGAAAAAAAATGGATCCAGGAAATTACAGACCTATCAGCCTGACCTCAATACCTGGGAAGATCCTGGAAAAGATAATCAAACAACGAATCAACGAACACCTAGAGGCAAACAAAGTCATTACTAAAAGCCAACACGGGTTTGTCAAAACTAGATCATGCTTGACAAATCTTATTGCATTCTTTGACCAAGTGACAAAATTAGTGGATCAGAGGAATGCTGTGGACATAATTTACTTGGACTTCAGTAAGGCATTTGATAAAGTAGGTCACAACCTACTACTTGACAAGATAGAAAAATGTGGGGTAGACAGAACCACCACCAGATGGATCCATAGCTGGCTGACCGGCCGTACTCAGCGAGTGGTCCTCAATGGAACTGCATCTATATGGAGGGAAGTGTGTAGTGGGGTGCCCCAGTGCTCTGTTCTGGGCCCAGTACTCTTCAACATCTTCATCAACGATTTGGATGAAGGGATAGATGGGGAACTCATCAAATTTGCAGACGACACCAAGCTGGCAGGAATAGCCAACACTCCAGAAGACAGGTTTAAGATACAGGAGGATCTGGACAGACTTGAACACTGGGCGCTATCTAACAAAATGGAATTCAATGGTGAAAAAAGCAAGGTTCTACATTTAGGCAAGAAAAACCAAATGCACAAGTACAGCATAAGTGGCACCATGCTCAATAGTAGTAACTGTGAGAGGGACCTCGGAGTCCTAGTAGACAATCACCTAAATATGAGCCAGCCGTGTGCTGCAGCTGCCAAAAAAGCCAACACAGTGCTAGGCTGCATTAACAGAGGGATAGAATCAAGATCACATGAAGTATTAATACCACTTTATAATGCCTTGGTAAGGCCACACTTGAAATACTGCATCCAGTTTTGTCACCATGATGTAAAAAAGATGTTGAGACTCTAGAAAGAGGACAGAGAAGAGCAACAAAGATGATTAGGGGACTGGAGGCTAAAACATATAAGGACCGGTTGCTAGAATTGGGTATGTCTAGTTTAACGAAGAGAAGGACAAGGGGGGACATGATAGCAGTATTCCAATATCTCAGGGGCTGCCATAAAGAAGAGGGAATTAAGCTATTTTTGAAAGCACCTGAAGGGAGGACAAGAAGCAAGGGGTGGAAACTAATCAAGGAGAAAAGCAACCTAGAACTAAGGAGAAACTTCCTGACAGTGAGAACAATTAATCAGTAGAACAGCTTGCCTCCAGAAGCAGTAAATGCTCCAACACTGGAAGTTTTTAAGAAGAGACTGGACAGCCACTTGTCCGAAATGGTGTAGGGTTTCCTGCCCGAGCAGGGGGTTGGACTAGATGACCTCCAAGGTCCCTTCCAACTTTACTAATATGAACATATGAATATACTGATTTTTTTTCCAATCAGAAGCATAATGAGTGTATTTTGTTTCTTATTTCCGGATGCATAGCCAAGAGTGAGCTCTGAGGGCTACAAAAGGGCCATAGATTCTTAGTGCAATATCTCAATTCTACTTTTGTGACAGATTGAACAAAACTGCTGCCATAAAGCAGAGGGTGTCAACCTATTCTCCAAAGCACCTGAAGGCAGGATAAGAAACAATGATTGGAAACTGACCAGAGAGAAGCAACCTGGATTTAAGGAGAAATTTCCTGACAGTGGATGCTTCATCACTGGAGATTTTTAAGAAGAGATTGGGCAACCATTTGTCTGAAATGGTACAGGGTTCCCTGCTTGAGCAAAGGGTTGGAATAGAAGACCCCCAAGGTCCCTTCCAACGCTTTTACTCTGTTATAAAACCAGGCTAAGACAAGACCTGGTTAGTTTGACATATAAATAATGAAATCCTCAAGTTCAGATGCACCTTTTCTGTCCTCTTCGGTTCCTGGTTTGGGAAAAATATAGCAAGACACAATTTTCTTCAAGCCAGAATTAAATGTTAGCAGCAGAGTTCAGTAAGGTTCTTCCTGGACTTCTGAAAACACCAGCTTGCCAAGTGATCAGCTGTCGCTCTTAAGATGGTCTGTGAAATAATGTGCTGAGGCCGACAAGACACAGATTACCGAGGAACAGAAATGGAACAGAGATCTGTTGTTATTTTCCGGATTGGATGCTGACAAGTCAAAATTGCTGTACCAGCCTGAATTGCTATGCAGAACTTGAAGGAGGAAGTTGATGGGAAAAAAGAATATATTGGACATCTGGGGGGAAAGTCTGGGAAACATGAAAAGAGAAACACTCCGCCTGAAATAGCCAGAAGTTCCTGTAAAGGGGTAATAAAAAATGACATAATGATCACTGTTCGGTGATAAAGGGGAAAGTTCTGCTTTTCACACGAAGGCTAACAGCCATTTACAGAGATATCATGCATCTTTCTGAATGCTTTTATTGTCTAACTTCGTCTGTATTTTGTAGATGAGGAATATTATACTGGGATTTATCTCTCTTCCCAGGATGCTAAAATCCACAAAGGGATTTTCCCACTGCACTCTGGCAAAACACCTGCGAGGTTCTTTAGGGTGAACAAAACCAATGTTGCTGCCAAGCAGGAATTAGACCAGTGGTTCTCAACCTTTTTAATGCTGCAACCCCCAACCGGTCGTAAGTCGAGGACTACTCAACTGGTGCAGCACCGTTTGCAGAATGGGACTTTTGGCAGGCTCAGCAGGGCAGAGACAGCCTGGACAATTCCTATTTGCTTTTGAAAGACAATAGAATTAGACTCTATTCAAGAAAGTCTATTCTATTGGCTTTCAAAAGCCAGTAGAATAAAAGGGAGTAGCACAGCTAAGGAAAAGGGGGAAAAATGGTGGACTGCGTTGTTTGGCGACCCCCGTGAAATGGTCGTTCGACCCCAAATGGGGTCCCGACCCACAGGTAGAGAACCACTGAATTAGACTGTCCTCACTCTGAGTCTAAAAGTTTGTTCACTGTACTAATGGATTTTTAAAGCCTAAATCATTCAGAAACAGAGATCCCTCACTGTGAACATTGATGATGTGCAGGTAGTCCTCAACTTACAGCAGTTCAAAGTTACATGGCACTGAAAAAGGTGACTTGTGGTGGTTTTTCACACTTACAACCATTGCAGTGTCCCCATAGTCACGTGATCAAAATCCAGAAGCTTGGCAACTGACTCATATTTATGATGGTTGCAGTGTCCCAGGATCATGTTCTTGTGGAAAACGAAAGGACTCTTATGAATTCCAGAGGGCTTTTAGCAGAGAGATTTATTGTGCAGGTTCAGAAGCTATAGCAACAAGCAATTCTGAACCCCGAGGACGGGTTCAGACTTCAGTTTTATACTTTTCCTTTTTCTCAGGAACAAAGGAATACACATTGAAATACACACTGTAATACTTTAGGTTAGTTTCTCACAGGTATACAATGAAGAGTTTGCTACATACATTGTATCTAAGTGCAATGCACATTAGGTTAGTCACATACTACTAACACAGCACTATTCCAGTAATTATGCAGACACATCGTTATTCTTGTGATTGTTAACTTTTCTACATTAATGTGATCACATTTTGTGACCTTCTTACAAAGCAAAGTCAATGGGGAAGCCAGATTCACTTAACAACCATGTTGCTAACTTAACAGGTACAGTGATTCACTTAACAACTGTGGCACAAAAGGTCGTAAAATGGGGCAAAGCTCACTTAACAACTGTCTTGCGTAAGCAACAAAAAATTCTCCAGGTGGCTGGAGAATTCTGGGAGTTGAAGTCCATACAGCTTACACTCACCAAGGTTGAGAAAGACTGGGCTACAATATAAGAAACTCTGCAATTGACTCTTTGGATTTTTAATTATGTTATTAGTTTATTGAAATATAAAACACAGAAGTAGAAAGGAAAAAAAGGGAAATAAGGGAGGAAAAGGAGAAGACAGAGAAGGGCAGGATAGAGGAGAAAAAGAAAAAGAAAAGATTGCCTTCAGACTCCTTTTGGTGTAGTACAGGGGTAGGCAACCTTGGCTCTTTTATGACTCGTGGACTTCAACTCCCAGAATTCCTGAGCCAACATGGCTCAGCTTGGAAACCTCTCCCTTTCCCCTCAGCATGGCTGGTTCAGGAATTCTGGGAGTTGAAGTCCACCAGTCATAAAAGAGCCAAGGTTGCCTACCCCTTAAGATGGTACCGTGAACATATGAAATATCCTTTTATAAGGTTTTGTAGCTTTGCTTATCATGCGATGCACACGCAAAAGGAACAGATAGGGTGGGGAAAGCCCCTCTCCTCATTTTGATATCAGGATTTCTCTGACGATGTATAATTCTACGTTACCTGTTCTCTTGCTTCCAGAAAGTATTGTTCGTTCTCTGGCCTAACTGTTTTTCATTTGTGCAGGTGACACAGCGTCTTTTTGACTTTTGTGGTTTGAGCACCCAGCGGCGAAACCGCTACATCCAACTTGTGGCCCACAGTTCTCAGCTCAACACCCCCAGGAACATTCAAACCCTCAACCTGCGTTGGAGCGCCCGAGAGGGTTACCTCTTGCTACAGACAGACAAGCCCATTTACACCCCCAGGCAAAAAGGTGAGCTCAGCTCCTATTCCTTCCTCACATACCACTGCGCTCTGTTCTTTTCGTTTATCCTGTTGTTGCTATTTTTAAAAAAACTTTATTTAACAATGATGCACCTTATACAGGTAAATACTGGTAGAAATACATATTCACTTTTCAGTTACCGAAGTTGTGCAATTACACATGGTCCTCGATCTACAACTGCTCATTTAGTGACCAAAGTTACAACAGTACTGAAAACAGTGATTTACCACTGTTTTCCACACCATTGCAGCATCTCCGCGGTCACATGATCAAAATTCTGACGCTTGGCAATTGACTCATATTTATGACGGTTGCAGTGTCCTTGGGTCATGTGATCACTTTCTGCAACCTTCTTACAAGGAAAATCAAGGGAGAAGACAGATTTAATTAACAACCGGGTTCTTTTAAGAAGAGGCTAGTCACTTGTCTGAAATGGTATAGGATAGGTTCTCCTGCTTGAGCAGGGGGCTGGACTAGAAGACCTCCAAGGTCCCTTCCAGCTCTATTCTACTCTGCTCTGCTCTATTCTATTCTACTAATTTAACAACTGCAGTGATTAACAGCAGTGGCAAGAAAGGTCCTAAAATGGAATTCACTTAACAACTGTCTCGCTTAGTAGTCAAAATTTTGGACTCAATTGTGGTCATAAGTCAAGGACTACCTGTGTTATTCAACGTGATATGATTTATTTATTCATTTATAGCCTGCCTTTATTTTTTTTCGCCAGTCAAGGTGGCAAACACACACAATACTCCTTCCTCCTCCTATTTTCCTCACAACACCAACCCTGTGAGGTAGGTTGGGCTGAGACAGAGCGATTGGGTCAAAGTCAGTCCGCTGGCTTTCTTGGCCAAGGCAGGACTAGAACTCACAGTCTCCTGGCTCTAGCCTGGTGTCTTAACCAGTAGACCAAATTGGTTGTCATTAATAAATCTCCAGGTCAACTCAAAGTGGTATACATACAGTGCTTAATGATCCCAACCTCTTATTTTCCCCACTACAACAAGTTTTGGGTTTTGGATTTGCCTTAGCACCTCGCTTCCTTCATTCTCTCACACTCCACTTTCCTTCTTTTATTCCAGTGAACTTCCGAGTCTTCCCTCTGGATCACAAGTTACATCCAACCAATAATCTCGTTGTTATCACTGTGAAGGTAATAAACAAGTGGCTCAATTAAAATGCAGTGAAGTAGAACCTGATAAAACATTTTTTTTAAAATATATATATATATATATATACTAATTGGAGCATTATACATGGGGAGATTTGCTACTTTTAAGACCATTTGTTTTATGAAATTCACTCACTGTGTTTCTGTTTCACTCCCTCAGAATCCACGGGGATTTCAGGTCAAGAAAATTGAGCGGAGCGCACTTCAATCTGTCATAAATGACCATCTGTCAATTCCTGACATTGCTGAGTAAGTTTCACTAAACATGGCTACTTTCAGCTTTTCCCCAAACACAAATGTAGTGATGTTGAAGGGTGAAATTGGGATTTATTTATTTATTTTTTAACTCTGGTCTGGCAGTCCTAACTGTGCAATTATTTCAAATGTATTTAACCAAGTCTACTATTTAATTTGGCATTCTAGTTATTATGCCAGGAGATTTTTTGGGCTTGGATGGGGAGAAAGAGAATCAGATTCACTGTCACAAGACTACCTGAGTTTGGAAAATTCCCAGTATTTGTGTTATCTAGGTCAGAGTTGGCGGCCTGGAGCAAGGGGAAGGGGGAAAGAAGGGCTGAGTTTGGAGGGGGGGGTGAATGCAAGCATGTGTGGGTACACATGCACGAACACCTGTTGCTTGCATGAGTAGGGCCACGAACGCCTGTGACACTGACGGCAACGCTCGTGCGAGTGGGCCTGTGAACGCCCGCACACACGTGCACCAGCCAGCCACTCACACAGCCAAGTAGCCAATAGGTTGAGGTCCCCTGATTTACGGCAAGGGTCCTGAACCCCTGGGCCCAGTGGTGGGATTCAAATATGTGAACAACCGGTTCTTTGTGTGGATGCTGCTTCCGGAAGTTCATTCTGGGCCTGGGCAACCAAAAATTAGCTACCAGTTCTGCCGAAGTGGTGTGAACCGGCTGAATCCCAGCACTGCCAGGGCCGCAGCTCACATCTGGGCTGTGGCCTATTTGGAACTGGGCCTCACGAGCAGTGGGCCAGCATGCATGCGCAAGCGCACAGCTCAATTCGCGCAAGCGGCGGGCTGGGGTAATTCCAGGCTCAATTATGAATGTAAGTCAAGGACTACCTTCTACCAGGTTTCTAGTCAGCAGCATAAGCTTTGGCCCTCTTGCTATGCAGCCTGGGAGCGTGTGGGGGTGTGGTTTTTCAGACCCTACAATTTCTGTGCACCAGCTAAGGTTTCCTTCTGTTCTTCTTCCTCTCCTATTTCAGGCCTGGCATTTGGACCATCACAGCCCACTTTGCCCACGGGCAGAGCTTTAACACAACTACAGAGTTTGAAGTGAAAAAATATGGTACGTTCTGAGATAGCGGCATCCTGGTTCTGTTCCCAAATATACTTTAATGGCACATTAAAGTGTTCTGCTAACCCCCAGTCCCTGAGCTGGCAGAAAACTGTATCACCGTAAAATCTATTGTTCCCACTGGCAACCCCTGTCCTGCCCCCTGTACGATGCCAGCAAATGGTGCTGTCCCAATAGAAGAGAATAACAAAAGAGCAGAGTTGGAAGAGACCTAGGAGGTCTTCTAGTCCAACCCCCTATATCGATCTGGACAAATGGCTGTCCAATCTCTACTTAACTGTGAGGGGGACCTCGGAGTCCTAGTGGACAATCACCTAAATATGAGCCAGCCGTGTGCTGCAGCTGCCAAAAAGGCCAACACAGTGCTAGGCTGCATGAACAGAGGGATAGAATCAAGATCACTTGAAGTATTAATACCACTTTACAATGCCTTGGTAAGGCCACACTTGGAATACTGCATCCAGTTTTGGTCACCACGATGTAAAAAAGATGTTGAGACTCCAGAACAGTGGTTCTCAACTTGTGGGTCGCGACCCCATTTGGGGTCGAACAACCATTTCATGGGGTCGCCAAACAACGCAGTCTGCCATTTTTCCCCCCTTTTCCTTAGCTGTGCTACTCCCTTTTATTCTATTGGCTTTTGAAAGCCAATAGAATAGACTCTCTTGAATAGAGTCTAATTCTATTGTCTTTCAAAAGCCAATAGGAATTGTCCAGGCTGTCTCTGCCCTGCTGAGCCTGCCAAAAGTCCCATTCTGCAAACGGTGCTGCACCAGTTGAGTAGTCCTTGACTTACGACCTGTTGGGGGTCGCGGCATTAAAAAGGTTGAGAACCACTGCTCTAGAAAGAGTACAGAGAAGAGCAACAGAGATGATTAGGGGACTGGAGGCTAAAGCATATAAGGAACGGTTGCTGGAATTGGGTATGTCTAATCTAATGAAGAGAAGGACGAGGGGTGACATGATAGCAGTGTTCCAATATCTCAGGGGCTGCCCCAAAGAAGAGGGAGTCAAGCTATTTTCCAAAGTGCCTAAAAGCAGGACAAGAAGCAACGGGTGGAAACTAATCAAGGAGAGAAACAACCTAGAACTAAGGAGAAACGTCCGAACAGTTAGAACAATTAACCAGCGGAACAACCTGCCTCCAGAAGCGGTGAATGCTCCAACACTGGAAGTTTTAAAGAAGAGACTGGACAGCCATTTGTTTGAAATGGTATAAGGTTTCCTGTCTGAGCAGGGGGTTAGACTAGATGACCTCCAAGGTCCCTTCCAACTTTATTATTATTATTATAAAACCCTCTAGTGTTGGAGAAACCACAACCTCTGGAGGTAAGTCGTTCCTCTGGTTAATTGTTCTTACTGTTGAGAAATTTCTCTTTAATTCTAAGTTGCTTCTCTCCTTGATGAATTTCCATCCGTTCCTTCTTCTCGTACCTTCAGATGCTTTTTAGAAAATAAATTGACCCCCTCTTCTTTGTAGCAGCCCCTCAAATATTGGAACATTGCTATCACGTCACCCCTAGTCCTTCTTTTCGTTAAACTTTTCATTAAACTTTTTCATTAAAGAAGAGAATATGTGTGTAGCCCAAGACTGCACTGTGGAGACCTTGATGCTCTCTGAACTTGATTGTTTTTGCTTGCAGGCATTTCATTACCTGACTAGGTAACATTATCAGTGCTAGTGAGTGTGAGGTTTGCTCCCTGCTTACATACAGTAGCTTGCCCTGCCAGTGTTATTGGGTGTGTGTATGTGTGTGTGCGGTTTTCTCCTTGATGGTTCCTTGATTAGGGCATTGTTTTCTGCTTGAACAGAAATAGGAGCAAGATATTATTTTTAAGCAGATCAAAGATACAGATTGGAAGGTGGTGACGCTCAAATTTGTATCTCTTCCTTTCTCTCATCAGTCCTGCCTCATTTCGAAGTGAAGATTGTCCCAGACCAGAAATACATCCTGGTCACCGGACAGCAAACACCTGACTTGCAAATTAATATTCAGGCTAAGTAAGCAACTCCTTCTTATTCTGTGGATTCATTTACCATGATACGCTCAAACTGCTAAAGTTTTTGAGATAGCTGCAATCCAAAATAAGGCAATCGACAACTGCAAGCATGAAATGAAGGCGATTTTCCCTTTGGGGAGGTGAATTGCCATTGTCACTAGAAACCTAGGGGGGAAAAACAGATGCAAAATAGGTCAGAAGGTTCTCAAATTTTTCAATGACAACATAGTGCAGTGTGAGAGGGGAGTAGAGGGGAGGGGAGGGGAAGGGAAGGGGGTAAAGGGAGGAGGGAGGGGAGGGAAAGAGGAGGGAGGGGAGGGAGGGAAGGAAGGAAGGGAAAGAGAAAGGGAAAGGGAAGGAAAGGAAGAAGATGTGTGGATTAATAGAAGAGAAGGGAAGGGAAGGTTAATATTTCTACTGTCTTGTTCTTGGGTATATTAAAGATTATACTACAAAAGGGAGTGTGGTATAACATTGTTTGGTTAAAAAAAATTACCAGCAGCCAGAGGGCCTAATTCTAACTCTCCAGCCGAAAGCTTCTAACGCTGGAAAAGGTAGAAGGGAAGAGGAGAAGAAAGCAACCAAAGGGGTGGACAGACTCAGTTGTAAGTCGGGATGGAGACACAGTTCTAAGGCCTGAAGGACCAGGTTAGGGAGAGATTCTCATGGAGAAAATCTAACTGTGTGGTTGCTAAGAGGTAACATCACCTTGATGGCAAATAATCAATCAGAAAGATCATTTCAGGCTGTGGATTAGATGAAGCTTTGCAGCAGGATTTTTTTTTCTGGTCATCTACAGCAGCGGTTCTCAACCTTTGGGTCGCGACCCCATTTGGGGTCGAACGACCATTTTACGGGGGTCGCCAAACAGCGCGATCCGCCATTTTTTCCCCTCAGGGAGTGGCGCCGTGCATGCGCACTGCGCATGGGAGCGGCGCCGCACATGCGCGCCGCGTCCTTATGACCGGGGTCGCCGTATAAAAAGGTTGAGAACCACTGATCTACAGCTTTTATTCCAAAGTTAATCATGTGATTTTTTTTTCTTGGCTTCCCCAACAGTTTTTTCTATGGGAAAGGGGTCACCGGCACAGCATACGTGCGATTTGGTGTGATTGGTGAGAATAAGGAAAAGGTCTATATCTCAGGACTAGTACAACAAATCCTGGTAAGGGAACAGAGTATTTTATTTTATTTATTTTATTTTATTTTATTTTATTATGTTATTTTATTTATTTTATATTATTTATTTATTTATTTTGTTTTGTTTTGTTTTATTTATTTTATTATTTTATTATAATTTATTTTACTATTTTTTTTATTTTTATTTTATTTATTATTTTATTTATTTTACTATTTTATTTTATTATTTATTTTATTTATTTTATTTACTTTATTTTATTATTTATTATTTATTTTATTTTTATTTCTTTTCTTTTATTTTATTATAATTTATTTTATTTTATTTATTTTTTTATTTTATTTTTATTTTTTATTTTACTTCATTTTATTATTTATTTATTTATTTATTTTATTTATTTTATTTTATTTTATTATTTTATTATGTTATTTTATTTATTTTATATTATATTATTTATTTATTTTGTTTTATTTTATTTATTTTGTTTTGTTTTGTTTTATTTATTTTATTATTTTATTATAATTTATTTTACTTATTTTATTTTATTTTTTATTTTATTTTATTATTTTATTTATTTTACTATTTTATTTTATTTTAATTTTTATTTTATTTTTATTTTTTAATTTACTTTATTTTATTATTTATTATTTATTTTATTTTTATTTATTTTATTATAATTTATTTTATTTATTTATTTATTTATATTTTTTATTTTACTTCATTTTATTATTTATTTATTTTATTTTTATCTTTATTTATTTTACTTTATTTTATTTTTTATTATTTATTTTTATTTTTTACTTTATTTTATTATTTATTTTATTTTATTTTTTATTTTATTTTTTATTTTACTTTATTTTATTTTTTATTATTTATTTTTATTTTATTTTTATTTCTTTATTTTACTTTATTTTATTTTTTATTTTACTTTATTTTATTTTTTATTATTTATTTTTATTTTATTATTTTTTATTTCTTTTACTTTATTTTATTATTTATTTTATTATTTTATTTTAATTTATTTTAATTTTTTTTTTTTGCCTGCCTGCCTGCAACAGGAAAACTTTCAGCAGATTTATTTATTTAATATTTAATTATTAAATACATTTATATATAGCAGTGACGGCGAACCTATGGCACGGGTGCCAGAGGCGGCACTCAGAGCCCTCTCTGTGGGCGCACGTGCCATTGCCCCAGCCTCGCCTCCCCCCGCGACCCCTCCTCTCCCTCTGAAGGAGAGTCTCCCCTGAGCGTGGCCCATGCGGAGCAGCGCAGCCAAGGAAATGGCAGCCAGGCAGCGTAGACAAGACTCTGCCCTCATACCCCCTTGTGCACAGTTGATGCTGCAGGGCGTGGGCAGAGGGCGTGACTGCCATAGCGCTGCTGGGCTGCCTGGGCGATCTGCTGCGGGCCCTGGAGGCGGTGAGTGGCCCTGCAGGCAGGTGGGGCGGGGGATGGGGCGGAGCTGGGGCACAGCAGGGGGTGGAGTATGGGCGGGGCCAGTTTTTGGGCACTTAGTCTCTAAAAGGTTCGCCATCAAAGATATATAGCCATCCAATTTACAAACAGGGACTTCAGGTTACAGAATCAGAAACAAAAAAATGTCAATGATACAATTACAATCCATAAACGTTCAGCAGTTTCCCCCCTAACCTCCCCAAAAATTAAACCACAAGTAAAGTCATAAAAAAAAATCAACCAAACAGCAATAAAAATAAATGGCAACATCTATAAATCAAGAGTCTTCTTAAACAATTCCGTTTTTAATGATTTCCTGAAGCCAAACAAGGCAGGAGCTGATCAGATTTCATTTTACAGCTCCAATGTTTCATAACTCCTTCCCTGAGGAATGCATTTTTGTGGACAGGGATGGGACAAATGTAATATTTTTATTTTTATTTATTTATTTGATTTAAACCGTGCACATTTAGCACATGACTCAATAGCTATTCAGTAGTGAGAGTAATGTATTTGCAGGTGCTCATCTTTATCTTTCCTTTAATATTATCCCTTACAACAGGGGTCTTCAAACATGGCCCTTTTATGACTTGTGGGCTTCAACTCCCAGAATTCCTCAGCCAGCCTTACAGCTTATCCCCATATACTGTATCCACTAGATACTGGATTTGTGCTGGATTTGTCGACCAGAAGATTAGTAGTTTGAGACCCAAGCATCATGTGATGGCTTGAGCTCCCATTCTTATCCCAGTTCCTGCCAATCTAGCAATTCAAAAGCATGCAAATAGCAATAACACTTAGACCAGGGGTCCCCAACCCCCGGTCCTTGGACCGGTACCGGGCCACGGCATACCAGCAACCGGTCCACACAAAGAAGCAAAGCCCCATCCGTGGGATGCAGGCAGCACACAAAACCATTCACTCTCGCACACAAAACCATTCACTCTCCGTGGGATGCAGGCAGCACACAAAACCACTCACTCAAAACCTTTCTCCACAGAACTGGTCCCTGGTGCCCAAAAGATTGGGGACCTCTGACTTAGACATCATTTCACAGTGCTTTACTGCCCTCTCTAAGCAGTTTACAGAATCAACATCTCTCCCCGCCCCCATCCAACAATCTGGCTCCTCATTTTACTGACCTTGGAAGGGATGAAAGGTTGAGTCAATCTTGAGCTGTTCAGAATTGAACTCCTGGAGCGAGCAGTGAGTTAGCTTGAAGGACTGCATTCTAACCTCTGCGCCACCATGACCTAGGCCAGGGTTAGGCAACCTCGGCTTTTTTATGACTCATGGACTTCAACTCCCAGAATTCCTAAGTTAGCATAGCATAGCTGACTCAGGAATTCTGGGAGTTGAAGTCCATTAGTCATAAAAGAGCCGAGGTTGCCTACCCCTGGCCTAGGCAAGTAGATAAATAGGTAACATTTAAGTGGGAAAGTAACAGTGTTCCACGTGCCTCTGTCTGTGGTGGGATTCAGCCACTTCACACCAGTTCGGGCAGAATCAGCAGCTAATTTTTTGTTGCCCAGGCCCAGAACAGACTTCCGGAAGTGGCATCCACACAGAGAACCGGTTGTTCACATATTTGAATCCCACCACTGGCCTCGGTGTATAAACACGCCGCACAAATGATCATGGAAGTGTCTTTGGACAATGCTGGCTCCCTCAGCTAAGAAATAGAGATGAGCATTGCCCCCTAGAATGGGGCACGACTGGACAGGGAAAACTTTTACCTTTATACAGCATCCTGTCATATAGCATCACAGTCTGGTTTGGAAGTATCCCTGCTTCAAACAGGAAGGCGGGTGCAGAGAGTGGTGAGGATGGCAGAAAAGATTATTGGCAGTTCCCTCCCTCCCATCCAGGACATAGCACAGAAGCGTTGCTTGATCAGGGTCCGTAAGATTGTCTGGGACGCTACACATCCTCTTCACGACCTGTTTTCCTTGCTACCTTTTGGGAGGAGGCTTCGCGGTATCCGTAACAGGACATCCAGATTCAGCCATAGTTTCATTCCATACAGCATTAACCTTGTGAACTCTCAAGCTTCCTCCTTCCGTTATGTATTCAAGATGGACAATATTTAATATTTATTTGTTATGTATATGTAGGGGTGTGGGTCTATACATACGTTGTATATAGTATGTTTAGGTGTGTAGGTCTTTGGTTATTAGGGTTTTCTCCCACGTAAAATTGGAAGTGTCTTGGCGACATTTCGACGAAGTCCCATTCATCATCTTCAGGCTGGTGTTTTCAGCTTCGTGCTTCATGCTTCGGCTTCTTCGTGTTTAGGTGTGTGTCATGTATGTTTCACTTTGAGAGTGGGCAACTAAAGTTCTTTTTCTTTTATGTGTGCCGTTGTGCCCACAGTAAAAAAATGACAATAAAGGTTATCTTATATGCCCCACGTCTGAATGTGAAAACAAATTCAGGCTAAATCCTAAAGACTAATCCCTTTGAACAAGAACTGTACTTGGAGCTGAGCGAGTCCTAAAGTCACTAACTCGCCAACAATCACACCGACACAGACTGTGCATGTGCCCACAAAATTTGGATGCTTCCATTTCGGTCTTCCCCTTCCTGAACCTCATATTTCTCGATCACAGAATGAGCAAATGGGATTTAAGGTAATAGGCATACAGCAGATGTGATTTTTTTTTAGACCTTAATACCTTCCTACTTTGCCCTGTTTCAGATCGAGGATGGTGAGGGCTCGATGATCTTGAAACGCAGCGTCCTCGCTGAGAAAGTGGGGCGCCCCCTGCAGGACCTTGTTGGAACGTCCCTTTACATCGCAGCCTCTGTCATAGAGACGGCAAGTAAGTTTGAAAATATAAAAAGGTTTCTCCAGTTTGGTCTTTTTCCAAACGTGTTAGTTTTGCACCGGACATCTTAAGCACATCAGATCATGGAAGGGTACCTACCAATAAAGGAGAAATAAAGGTGGAAGGGGGTTTCATATCCCACACAGGATGGAATTGTTCATGCTTTTCAAGGCTTTGACGGTGGGAAGGAAGAATCTTCCTTCGCATGTGTGAAATTTATATTACTTTTCCAGCCAACACATGTGAGAATAAATGCTGTCAGGTGGTATTAGGTGAATTCACTCTTTGAGGCTTTGCAGAAGTGTATTGTCAGGGTTTACTTGATTTACTTGCGCTGTCAGAGAGGGAACAGAAAGAAAATTATTCCATCTTCACTTCCTGGTTTAATGAAAGGAGAGCAGCGTACCAAAATGAAACATGATGATTTCATAAGCTATTGACAAGGAGTGATCTACGAACAGGCCAGAGACTCGTTTGTCAATTGTTAAACCTTATTACTTAGGACACGTAGCCTTATTGTGGATGGAAGAGAGGGCTTAGAGCTCAGTATTAAATCTCAAGGCTTGGCTGATCTTAAACAAGAGTAATAAATGTTAGTGTAGCCCATAAGCTTAAAAACAAGGAACATAACAGAATAACAGAACAAACAGAGTTGGAAGGGTCCCTGGAGGTCTTCTAGTCCAACCCCCTGCTCAGGCAGGAAACTTTTCACGTGAAGTATTAATACTACTTTACAATGCCTTGGTAAGGTCACACTTGGAGTACTGCATCCAGTTTTTGGTCACCACGATGTAAACTCCATCGATTTGGGCTTGTTTAATACACTTTGTTTAAGCCAGTGTTTCTCAACCTTGACAATTTTAAGGCATGTGGACTTCAACTCCCAGAATTCCACAGCCAGCATTGCTGGCTGTGGAATTCTGGGAGTTGAAGTCCACATGCCTTAAAATTGTCAAGGTTGAGAAACACTGGTTTAAGCCCCCGCCGTGTGAAATCAGGCAGGCTGAACTCTGATGAGAAAACAAAACAAATACAGGTAGCCCTTGACTTACGGCCACAATTGAGCCCCAAACTTTCAGTTGCTAAGCGAGATGGTGGTTAAGTGAGTTTTGACCCATTTTACAACCTTTCTGGCCATAGCGGCGAAGCGAATCGCTTCAGTTATTAAGTGAGTAGCACGGTTGTGAGGTGAATCTGGCTTCCCCTTCAACTTTGCTTCTCAGAAAGTTTCAAAATGGGATCGCACGACCCCAGGACACTGCGACCATCATAAATATGAACTAGTTGCCAAGCATCTGAATTTTGAACACGTGACCATGGGGGGATGCTGCCACAGTTGTAAGTGTGAAAAACGGTCATAAGTCACTTTTTTCAGTGCCGTTGTAGCCTCAAATGGTCACTGAATGAAGTCAAGGACTATCTGTACGTGTTACTGATTTGTTAACCTTCCCCGAAAAGAGCGTCTTGCAAAAGGGCTTCTTCTCATCTAACCTGAGACCTCAGCATCTCTCTGTAAAACTTGGTTAAGTTTAAGAGTGGCTTGTTGACCTTTTCCTCATTCTCCTAGGTGGAGAACTGGAGGAACAAGAACTCACCTCAGTGAAATTTATATCATCGCCTTATTCTGTGGACCTGTCAAAAAGCAAACGTTACTTTGTGCCCAGTGCTCCGTACGAAGTGCTGGTATGTGCTGCGGATTTTGGGGTTGTTTTTTTTTTTTGTCATGTTCATCTTCCATCTTGGGAAGTGTGGTTGAGAGAACGGATGCCTGCTGATTCTAGTTGTCTTTCACATTTCTGAATTTCATGCCACAGTCATTCTACTTCCATTTGCAGGTCTTTGTATTTTGTGATTTTTCTCCAGTTATTCTTCTTCTCTTTTTTTTTTTGCTGTCTCCAGGTATTGCAATGTCTACTTTCTAGACTTTTTTTGTCTTTTTTATCGATACTTGCTATGTTCGGACTCTTATGTGGCAGGTATTTGTTTGAATTCTAAAACATCAGAGTAATTTTTTTTTTCAAATTTTATTTATAATACAGTTAAAAACAAACAAACATTGGATTTAACGTGACATTCCGGTATATATATTCTTATCAGATTATTCCACTTTTTACAATCAATTCTTCATCTCTACATATACATCTAAGTTTTATATATAATAGTAAAATAACAGGTATTTCTATCTTAACATTCATCTTTAATCCCGACTGTCCTCTTCAAATTCCTCCAGCGGTAAAATTTATCCCAGGTTTCATAATAAACTGATCCACTTTTGTCTTTTAATATCATTGTGAGCCTGTCCATTTCCGCACATGCTAATATTTTATGTATTAACTCTTCCTCTGTGGGAATTTCCTTGCTCTTCCATTTTTGCGCAAAAGCAAGCCTAGCTGCAGTCAGGATGTATAGCAGCAGGTAGATTGTTCCCTTGTCGTATTTTTCTGTCATTATTCCCAACAAGGTTTTAACTCTAAGTCCAGTGTTAATATATCCCTCAACCAGTTTCGTGTCCTGTTCCAATACTCACGAGTCTTTGGGCATTCCCACCACATATGGTAATATGAACCTATTGCTGTAAAACATCAGAGTATTTATCATTATTAATAAAAACTGTCCGGGTTTTCTTCCACTTCCTCTAGGCTCGAATCACCCTACCGGATGGCTCACCAGCCCCCAACCTCCCAGTCCACTTCAGAACCCACATAACCGGGGCAGCATCTCCTATGGATGAACAGATGAATACCGATAAGCAGGGAATCGTGAGCTACATAATCAATGTGGCTCAAGGATCTTCCTCACTCACTGTCAAGGTATTGCTCCACCCATCCAAAGGTCAGGGAGAGGAGGGGTGGAAGAAAGACAATAACAGATGCAGTTGACTTGTCTGCTAGATCAGTTGAAAATGAACCAGTTTTTAAAATGAAACAGTGTCTTGGGTCACACCGCTTTGATGATGACAATGTGCTTCATGATGCTGTTACAGGGTGGTTTCATTCCCAGACGGGAGATTTTTTTTTTTTTTTTTTTGGCAGAAGGAATTTCAAACCTTGTAAGACGTTATGAAAAGTGCCTCAATTTGAATGGCGATTATGTCGAAAAGTAATGTAATGTTGTAGTTTCCCAATGTGTCTAATACACATTCTGTATCTGCAACTGTCTGTCATTGATAACCAAACGGAGGGTTATTTCAGAATAGAATAGAATAGAATAGAATAGAATAGAATAGAATAGAATAGAATAGAATAGAATAGAACTGGAAGGGACCTTGGAGGTCTTCTAGTCTAGCCCCCTGCTCAAGCAGGAGAACCTATACCAGGGGTAGGCAACCTTGGCTCTTTTATGACTCATGGACTTCAACTCCCAGAATTCCTGAGCCAGCATAGCATAGCTATGAAGAGAAGGACGAGGGGTGTCATGATAGCAGTGTTCCAATATCTCAGGGGCTGCCACAAAGAAGAGGGAGTCAAGCTATTCTCCAAAGTGCCAGAAGGCAGGACAAGAAGCAATGGGTGGAAACTAATCAAGGAGAGAAGCAACCTAGAACTAAGGAGAAACTTCCTGACAGTTAGAACAATTAACCAGTGGAACAACCTGCCTCCAGAAGCAGTGAATGCCCCAACACTGGACGTTTTTAAGAAGAGACTATACAGTCATTTGTCTGAAATGGTATAGAGTTTTCTGTCTGAGCAGTGGGTTGGACTAGATGACCTCCAAGATCCCTTCCAACCTTTATTATTATTATTATCATCATCATCATCATTATTATTATTATGTCTATAAAACAGCCTGACTATTTTTGTTTTCCCCACAGCTAACAGCGGGAACAGAGAGCCCAGCAGAAGCAACCTTGACTGCCAAAGCCACCAAGTCCCCCAGAGGCAACTATCTGATCCTTGAAAGTTCCCAAAGTTATGGCTTGAACATTGAAGATACCCTCAGAATTAGATTGAAAGCCGTTGGATCAAATACCGTCACTGACATCTATTACATGGTGAATGGGAGATGTTCGCGAGGCCCGGTGGTTTTCTCTATTTATATACAAGTGGCTTGTCCTGTCAGTGTAGGTGGGAGTCTGCTTGAAGAACTGGGCAGAAGATTAGCAGAGGGCATCCATGAATTTCAACTAGCAGTCTGAAGACATGATGAAAACTCCTTTATTGCGCATCACACCGACACACTTAACTATAGCTTCAATTGGGAAACTGTGAGAATCCTAGACCAAAACCTCTAGAACACTGGTGGCGAACCTATGGCATGGGTGCCAGAGGTGGCACTCGGAGCCCTCTCTGTGGGCACATGTGCTGTTGCCCCAGCCTTGCCTCCCCCCGTGACCCCTTCCTCACTAGTAGCCCTCCTGGAGAAGAGTCACCCCCGAGCGTGGCCCATGCGGAGCAGTGCAGCCAAGGACATGGCAGCCAGGCAGCATAGACAAGACTCTGCCCTCATGCCCCATTGTGCACAGTTGATGCTGCAGGGCGCGGGCAGAGGGCGTGGCTGCTATGGCACTGCTGGGCAATATGCGGCGGGCCCTGGAGGCGATAAGTGGCCCTGCAGGCAGGCGGAGTGGAGGCAGAGCGGGGGTGGGGCAGGGGTGGAGCGGGGGTGGGTCCAGTTTTTGGGCACTCGGTCTCTAAAAGGTTCGCCATCACTGCTCTAGAGAATTCCTGGAAGCCTATTACTCAGACAAATCAGCCATCAATAGATACATAGACATAAACAACATCTACACACCATTCAAAAGGCTAAAAGGGTAATAAAAAGACCACAACAGCTCCTCATTAGCAATCAACTCCCTGATAAACAGAGATGAACACCAAGATGAACCCCAGGGTCTTGTGATTTACATTCAGATGCTTGGCAACTGATTCATATTTATGACAGTCACAGTGTCCCAGGGTCATGTGAAGTGACCAAAACCTGCTGCAACCACCCAGCAGATGGGGGGGGAATAAAAACCAAACACCCCCCTACTCCCGCTGCCAATCCTCAACAGAAATGCTCACAACAATGGAAATCTCGGACAGGAGGAAGAGCACTGCCGGGCAGACAGGAAGGTATCTTGCTCGGCTATGGCTTGGGGGGCACTTTTTTCAGTGCCATTGTAACTTCCAACAGTCACTGTTAGAAGTCGAGGACTACCTGTACTTTATCACTTTTTTCCTTCTTTTTTTTGGGTCATCAAGTTTTTGACACCTTGCTAGGTGACTGGTGGTACTCGGATATTGCCATATGCTAAAAGTGGTCCGAGGTTTTCATTGTTGTGAGCATTTCTGTTGAGGATTGGCAGAGGGGGTGGGGTGGGGGTGTTTGGCTTTTATTCCCCCCGTCTTCTGGGTGGTTGCAGCAGGTTTTGGTTACTTCACATGACCCTGGGACACGGTGACCATCATAAATATGAATCAGTTGCCAAGCATCTGAATGTAAATCACAAGACCCTGGAGATGCTGCAACATTCCAGCTGATCGGCGCTTCTTCTGGGCTCAGCAGAAGCACCAGGATCAGCACCGAGCTCCAGCTGGAGCCTGGCGCTGATCCTGGCACTTCAGCTGAGCCCTGACAGCCTTGCAGCTCCAGCCATCTCTCGCTCAGGCTTGTGCGGTGCTGCCCCCGGTTCAGCTCATTCCCCTCCCCTGCTACCACTTTTCTAGGATGGTCGCGTACCACCTGCCAGGTGCCAATGTATCACAGGTGGTACCCGTACCACTGGTTGAAAAGCCCTGTTCTAGTCCAACTCCTTACTCAGGCAGGAAACCCTATACCATTTCAGACAAATGGCTGTCCAATCTCTTCTTAAAAACTTCCACTGTTGGAGCATTCACAACTGTTCCACTGGTTGTTCTCACTGTCAGGAAATTTCTCCTTAGTTCTAGGTTGCTTCTCTCCTTGATTAGTTTCCATCTGTTGCTTTTTGTCCTGCCTTCCGGTGCTTTGGAAAATAGCTTCACTCCCTTTTCTTTGTGGCAGCCTCTGAGATATTGGAAGACTGCTATCATGTCCCCCCTTGTCCTTCTCTTCATTAGACTAGACATACACAATTCCAGCAACTGTTCCTTGTATGTTTTAGCCTCCAGTCTCCTAATCATCTTTGCTGGTCTTCTCTGCACTCTTTCTAGAGTGGAATTAGCCCCATGGTTCCCAGAGGGTTCCATAGTTGACCAGGAAGAACAACCTGGGTCTCCCCATGTTTAGTCAGGCACCTTCACCTTTAAACCACAATGGATCTTTGACTGAGAGAGAAGGATTGACTCAGGGTCAAGATGACCCTCTCACTTGCCCCCATTCCTATTCCAGCACTCTAAACTTTGTGCCATAATGGCTTGTTACGAAGCAGACAGTCCTCAATTTGCAACTGGTTTGTGACCGTTTGAAGTTTCATCCTAACTGAAAAGAGTGGCTTGTGGCTATTTTTTTACAACTTAACAATAGTTGCAGTATCCTCATAGTCATGTGTTCAAAATTTGGGCACTTGGCAACTAGCGTGCATTTATGACAGTTGCAGTGTCCTGGGATCCTGTGATTAGCTTTTGTGACTTTCTGACAGGTAAAGTCAAGGGGGAAGCTAGATTCACTTAACAACCGTGTTACTCATTTAATGATGGCAGGGATTCACTTAAACAACTCTGGCAAGAAAAGGTGTCAAATGGGGCAAAACTCAACAAACACCTCACTTAGCAACAGAAAGGACTACCTATACCAGGTGTAGGCAACCTTGGCTCTTTTATGACTCATGGACTTCAACCACCCAGAATTCCTGAGCCAACCATGCTTCTTAATTCTGGGAGTTGAAGTCCACGAGTCATAAAAGAGCCAAGGTTGCTTACCCCTGACCTATACTGAGTGATATGATTATTTTTTTAATAACTGGAAGATATTGCCTCTGTGCTAAAAAAAACTGTTCTTTGATTTGACCATTTTTCTGTAGGTTTTGAGCAAAGGCGACATCATCTCTGTAAACAGAGTTCTAGCTGGCACTTTTACAGTAGCCCCTATTCGTGTTACACCTAGTCTGATGCCAACGTTCCGTGTTGTGGCCTATTATCTTCTTGGGGATGAAATTGTCTCCAACTCCCTATGGTTGGAGGTTGTCTCCCGCTGCGAGGGGAAGGTATGTTGAATTTTCAGGAAGGGGTTGCGTTCCCGAATCCACTCCAGAATTTTGTGCTAGTGATTTCTTTCTAAGTAAGTCAGCTGTTTCACACATTGCCACATTGCCACATTCTGTTCAGTGCTTGCTTTTGGAGTGGAGTGGAGTGGAGTGGAGTGGTGGAGTGGAGTGGAGTGGAGTGGAGTGGAGTAGAGTAGAGTAGAGTAGGGTAGGGTAGGGTAGGGTAGAGTAGAGTAGAGTAGAGTAGAGTAGAGTAGAGTAGAGTAGAGTAGAGTAGAATATAAATAGAATAGAATATGAATATAATATAATAGAGTAGAGTAGAATAGAATATAAATAGAATAGAATATGAATATAATAGAATAGAGTAGAGTAGAATAGAATATAAATAGAATAGAATATGAATAGAATGGAATGGAATGGAATGGAATAGGAATAGAATAGAATAGAATAGAATAGAATAGAATAGAATAGAATAGAATAGAATAGAATAGAATAGAATAGAATAGAATAGAATAGAATAGAATAGAATAGAATTGGAATGGAATGGAGTAGAGTAGAGTAGAGTAGAGTAGAGTAGAGTAGAGTAGAGTAGAGTAGAATAGAATAGAATAGAATAGAATAGAATAGAATAGAATAGGAATGAAATGGAATAGAATAGAATAGAATAGAATAGAATAGAATAGAATAGAATAGAATAGAATAGAATGGAATAGAAATGAAATGGAATAGAAATGAAATGGAATGGAATGGAATGGAATAGAATAGAATAGAATAGAATAGAATAGAATAGAATAGAATAGAATGGAGTAGAATAGAATAGAATAGAATAGAATAGAATAGAATAGAATAGAATAGAATAGGAATGAAATGGAATGGAATGGAATGGAATGGAATAGAATAGAATAGAATAGAATAGAATAGAATAGAATAGAATAGAATAGAATAGAAATGAAATGGAATGAAATGGAATAGAAATGGAATAGAATAGAAATGAAATGGAATGGAATGGAATGGAATAGAATAGAATAGAATAGAATAGAATAGAATAGAATAGAATAGAATAGAATAGAATAGAATAGAAGTGGAGTGGAGTGGAGTGGAGTGGAGTGGAGTGGAGTGGAGTGGAGTGGAGTAGAGTAGAGTAGAGTAGAATAGAATAGAATAGAATAGAATAGGAATGAAATAGAATAGAATAGAATAGAATAGAATAGAATAGAATAGAATAGAATAGAATAGAATAGAATAGAAATGAAATGGAATAGAAATGAAATGGAATGGAATAGAATAGAATAGAATAGAATAGAATAGAATAGAATAGAATAGAATAGAATAGAATAGAATAGAATAGAATAGAATAGAAGACACACAAGGAATTTGTCTCCGGTGCATAAGCTCTCAGGGTACCTACAAGCAAGCAACACATGATAAATCATGATCATCATAAAAATACATTCATCATAAATCATACAACACGTAGTGATAGTCATAGGATACTAAATAAGCAAACAACATAAATCATACTAGGATACTAAATGAAACAATATAAATTGTAAGATACAAGCAACATATAGTCATAAGAAGATAAGGAGATAGGTTATAGGAAAGATGAGAAGAAGAATAGCAATACAGCCTTACTAGGTAGTTTCACAGTGTTGTGGGAATTAGTTGTTTAGCAGAGTGATTATTGTGAAAATCCAGATGCTTAGATTTCTAAATCATAATTTATATTTTAGTCCCATTAATTGAGACTTATTCATTTAAACAGGGCTTGGATTTATACCGTAGATACTTCTAATCATTGTGTTAAGCAGATCTCAGCCAGTTAGAGCAGGGGTCCCCAACCTTGGCAACTTTAAGACTTGTGGACTTCAACTCCCAGAATTCCTCAGCCAGCAAAACTGGCTGAGGAATTCTGGGAGTTGAAGTCCACAAGTCTTAAAGTTGCCAAGATTGGAGACCCCTGAGTTAGACTGTTCAGGATATTTATACATCCTAAATATGTTCATAGACACTGTATCACTACCTAAAATAGTCACCATAAGTGTAAGATCATCAAAACAAAAATACAAAAAGCAGACAAAATTGTTTTAGGACTATAACCATACAATAATAAATGAGACCTTCGTGGGGCTGAGGCAGTGTTTGAAACTATGGAAAATCATGAACAATAGGTAACTGCTGCCCGGTGCTCTTTTATTTTAATTTCATTCACTTATTTTACTTTGCTTCATTTCACTTGCTTTGTTGTATCTTGTTTGATGGCATTTCTTCTTTATTTTACTGCATTTCATTTCACGTCGGTTTCATTTTCGTGTCATTTCTATTTTATTTCACCTCATTCTACAGTCGGTGTCCACTCTTGAGACCACCCCAGGTCGATTTTCTCCATATAAATAAATAAAAATTTTGGGGGCAGTTTGCAAAGGACAATACCGGTAGTCCTCAACTTACAACCATTCGTTAGTGACCTTTTGAAATTGCAACAGCACTGAAAAAAGTGGCTTATGTCCGTTTTTCATACTTATGACCATTTCAGTATCCCCACGGTCCTGTGATCAAAATTTGCACACTTGGCAACTGTATTTATGACAGTCGCAGTGTCCCAGGGTCATGTGATCACCTTTTACGACCTTTTGACGAGCAAAGTCAAAGGGGGAAGCCAGATTCACTTAACAACCATGTTACTAACTTAACAGCTTCAGTGATTCCCTTAACAACTGTGACAAGAAAGGTCGCAAAATGAGGCAAAACTCAGTTAACAGATGCTGTTGCTTAGCAATGTCAATTGTGGGCTCAATGGTGGACATAAGTCAAGGACTACCTATATTTAGGCCAACTTTAGGCCGAGCAGGCTTCCTCCAACCCATTACTTTCCAAATATTTCTGAAAACGCTTCTGGAATTCCCAGGTAATTTATGAAGTTGTCACCTCTCCCGTCTAGAGATCCAGGAAGAGGTTGGGGTTGGCTGCCCTACTTCTCCCTTACTCTGTCTTTCCAATCTTCAGCTGGAGATTCGCTCCTCGGCAAACATAGACCGCCTGCAGCCTCAGGCACGCCTGCCACTCACCATAAACACGGATGCCAAATCCTTTGTCTCTCTCTCTGCCACGGATGCTGCCGTTTATGCCCTCAACGGGAAGAATCGGCTCACACAAGGCAAGGTATGGTCCCTTCTGCTTCAGCCGCTCTCCTTGGATATTTGGGAAGACAAAGAGTCCTTTCTTCGACTCCTTGTGTAATATGGTTGTGATGGTTTGCGAATGTGATGGGCGTGTTTGAGCACCTGAGGGAAAGGCGAGAAGATATTTTTATTTTATTTTATTATTTTATTTTATTATTTTATTTTATTTTATTTTACTTTATTTATTTTATTATTTTATTTTATTTTACTTTATTTCATATTTTATATTATTTTATTTTACTTTATTTATTTTATTATTTTATTTTACTTTATTTCATATTTTATATTATTTTATTTTACTTTATTTATTTTATTATTTTATTTTACTTTATTTCATATTTTATATTATTTTATTTTACTTTATTTATTTTATTATTTTATTTTATTTTACTTTATTTCATATTTTATATTATTTTATTTTATTTATTTTATTACTTTACTTTACTTTTACTTTTATTTTACTTTACTTTACTTTACTTTACTTTACTTTGAACACCTGAGGGAAAGGCGAGAAGATATTTTTATTTTATTTTATTTTACTTTATTTATTTTATTTTATTTTATTATTTTATTTTATTTTACTTTATTTATTTTATTATTTATTATTTTATTACTTTACTTTACTTTACTTTACTTTACTTTACTTTACTTTACTTTACTATACCTTTACTTTACCTTTACCTTTACTTTACTTTACTTTACTTTACTTTACTTTACTTTACTTTACTTTACTTTACTTTACTTTACTTTACTGACTGCCCATCTTACCCCAAGGTAACTCTGGGCGGTTTACACTATTAGAAAGATAGAATTTTACAAAACCTACACATAATAAAAACTAACTCATAAAACAGATAAACCCAGGTAGTCCTCAACTTACAACAGTTTGTTTAGTGATTATTCAAAGTTACCACGGCTTGTTCAGACACTTGGCAACTGACTCAGATTGATGACGATTGATTTATGACAGTTGCAGTGTCCCCAGGTGGGGGGGGGAATCCCCTTTTGCGACCTTTTGATAAGCAAAGTCAAAGAGGGAAGTCAGTAGTAACCACCATGTTACTAATTTAACACCTTGCCATGATTTGCTTAACGACTGTGACAAGAAAGGCCGTAAAATAGGGCAAAACCCACTTAGCAACTGTTTCACTTAGCAACAGATATTTTGGGCTCAGTTGTGACTACAAGTCGAGAACTACCTGTACACAGCCCTAATCAAAAGATGGGGAGGGAACAGGATGAAGAGGGGGGTGAAGTAGGGTCTGTTATTAGTCTGTCAATCGCCCCCAATGTGAAGACACCCCCTCCCCAGGCCAGTGGGTGGTGCCAGGTTTTTTAAGTTCTTGCAGAAGATCAGGAGGATTGAAGTAACAGACGGAAGTTTATTTTAAGGAAATATCCAATCTAGAACTAAGGAAAAAATTATTGACAGGAAATCTTTGCTACTTATGTTTGCACCTAGTTCTAGTTAAGTTGGCTGGGGACCCCTGGGAATTATGGTTCACACATCTTGAAGTTACCAAGAAACATTGGTCGTGTGAAACATCACACATCAATAGGAGCACTTTCTCTCTCTCTCTGTCTCTCTCTGTCTCTCTCTCTCTCTCTCTGTCTCTCTCTCTCTCTCTCTCTCTCTCTCTCTCTCTCTCTCTCTCCCCTTGTCTTATCATCTTCCACATTTATTTATTTTTCCTCTTGAAATCAGGTTTTTGAGGCCATGAAAAGTTATGATCTCGGTTGTACTGCTGGCAGTGGGGAAGATTCCCTGGGCGTCTTTGCCGATGCTGGTCTCTCAATCCGTGCTGGTCAACAGCAAAGTCTCCTCCGGAAAGGTGAGTAAAAAAATCCTAAACGAAAATAAAGAAATTTGGGCAATTATCAGCAGTTTCTATCCTCACAGTCATAAAGAAAATGAGCAATATAAATTGCTCTTGGTCATCTTAAAAAGACATAAGGTTAAAGTTGTCAAAATCTTTCAAGAATACCTCCCCCCCCCTTAGATTTGTAGGCCTCTTGTCTGAAATTTCAACCAAATCTCACAAATGTTGTCAACTGAAAGATTAAGCCATGCATGTCTAAGTACACACAGGCGTGACAGTGAAACTGTGAATGGTTCACTGAATCGGTTATGGTTTTACTAGGATAACTGTGATAATTCCAGAGCTAACACATGCCACAAGTGCTGATCTCTGGGGACGCATGCATTTATCAGACCAAAACCAACCCCGGGCTTGCTCCGCCTGCTTTGGTGACTCTAGATAACCTCGGGCTGACCGCACGCCCCCGTGGTGGCGATGACACATTCGGACGTCTGCCCTGTCAACTTTCAATAAGAGAGTTAATGATAGCAGGAAAGTATCATCGAACGTTGATAGGGCAGACGTTCGAATGCGTCGTCGCCACATTCGTTGGTGATAATTCACTTGCTTTACTATTGGACAAATATTTATTTTGTTCTTTTGTTCCTTAGAAAACCCCCTCCCTCTCCTTTTCCATCAGGAATCATTCCTTTTAACACTGTTGGTGGGATTTTGTTCTATGGTTTTGAGTTTCTGTTCATCTTCTCCTGTTTGTTCCCATAGCACACGGATGCGAAGAAAATGTTTCCCGGAAAAAGCGGTCCCTGTCATTTCAACTTGAGATGCAGAAGAAAGGTAAGATGAAACAACAAATCTCATGAGATTTGGTCATCTTGCAGAATGTCGGCCACTTTGTTGATTTAGTCCTGGTGGACAATCACTTAAATATGAGCCAGCCGTGCGCTGCAGCTGCCAAAAAAGCCAGTCCCCATTCAAAGTTACAACAGCACTGTAAAAAGTGAATTATACCCGTGCTTTTTTTCTTAAAAAAAAAAAAAAGGTGCTGGAACTCACACATGTCATACAACCCACCTTGCCTACCCTACAAGGTTCCATCCCAAAAAGGTGCCAGAACTCCGTTCTGGGCGTTCTATGAGAAAAAAAAGCCCTGATTATACCACAATTCACGCTTATGGCCGTTGCAGCATCCCCATGAATATGTGATCAAAATACAGACCCTGGGCATCTGGCATGTATCTGTGATGCTCTTGATTCCCCTTTATCTAATACGAGCCAGCAGTGTGCTGCAGCTGCCAAAAAGGCCAACACAGTGCTAGGCTGCATTAACAGAGGGATAGAATCAAGATCACGTGAAGTATTAATGCCACTCTTCAATGCCTTGGTAAGGCCACACTTGGAACACTGCATCCAGTTTTGGTCACCACGATGTAAAAAAGATGTGGAGTCTCTAGAAATAGTACAGAGAAGAGCAACAAAGATGATCAGGGGACTGGAGGCTAAAACATACAAGGAACGGTGGCTGGAATTGGGTACATCTAGACCAGTGATGGCAAACCTTTTAGAGACCGAGTGCCCAAACTGCAACCCAAGGTGGGGGTGCCTGTCATAGGGCAAGGTGTGACAGGGGCAGGGGCGGCTGCTGCCTGACACCATCAACCCCCTGCACACAGAGGCCAGCGAGCGCATGGGTTCTGGGATGCATCCGGCCATGTGGGACCTCGGCGAGTTAGTGTAGGGCTGGTTGAAGAGGGACAGTTGCCATCTCCAGGGCATGGCCTGTGTGCCCACAGAGAGGGCTCTGAGTGCTGCCTCTGGCACGCATGCCATAGGTTTGCCACCACTGGTCTAGACTCTAGTCTAATGAAGAGAAGGACGAGGGGTGTCATGATAGGAGTTCCAATATCTCAGTGGCTGCCACAAAGAAGAGGGAGTCAAGCTATTTTCCAAAGCACCTGAAGGCAGGACAAGAAGCAACAGATGGAGAGAAGCAACCTAGAACTAAGGAGAAACTTCCTGACAGTTAGAACAATTAACCAGTGGAACAACCTGCCTCCAGAAGCTGTGAATGCTGCAATACTGGAAGCTTTTAAAAAAGACTGGACAGTCATTTGTCTGAAATGGTATAGGGTTTCCTACCTGAGCAGAGAGTTAGACTAGATGACCTCCAAGGTCCCTTCCAACTTTATCATCATCATCATTATTATTATTATTATTTCATTACATACATATAATTGATTGACTGAATATATGAATGTATGAATGATTTTGGTATCCTGAAGATACCATCTATACAAGACTGGTGCATGTCTAAATATTGGCAGGCTTTGTGTTGCCAACCTTTGGGTTAAGTAGTCCTCCTCAAAAGCTGCATAATGATCTGATACAGTGTGTTTGTTATCCTTTGCAACTTTAAGATGGGTGGACTTCAACTCCCAGAATTCCCCAGCCAGCCTAGAATTCTGGGAGTTAAAAGTTTACCCATCCTAAAGTTGCAAAGGTTAAGAAACGCTGGCCTGATATATCAGAAATAAAAAATTGGAAACTGTTGGGCTAGCCCAGGGGTAGGCAACCTTGGCTCTTTTATGACTCGTGGACTTCAATTCCCAGAATTCCTGAGCCAACATGGCTCAGCTTGGAAACCTCTCCCTTTCCCCTCAGCATGGCTGGCTCAGGAATTCTGGGAGTTGAAGTCCATGAGACATAAAAGAGCCAAGGTTGCCTACCCCTGGGCTAGACTAATCGGAATTCTAAGAAGGGAATGTGAAATGTTGGCTTAGCTTTACCTTTATTTCTTTTGTTCCTGCATTTTATATCCACTATTATTTTATCTTCTTCTCCCCACCCCCTCTCTTCTGCAGTTGCCAAATACAATACCCCTGATCAAATTAAATGCTGCAAGGGTGGCATGGTGTTGCTTCGCAATGCCCGGACATGCGATGAACGTGCCCAAAGGATTAAGAACATCCAGTGCCGTGACGTCTTCCTTGACTGCTGCCGCTATGCTACCAAATTACGTCGCCAGTCCTGGGGGTCCCATGGTCTTGCAAGGGGTGAGTATGCTACCCTGAGCCAGCTGAATAGGAAAAGAGAAAGGTTAAATGAGGAAAGGAAATCCTGATGTTTGAACATCAATTCCTGCCAGCCCCTCTTTTATAACAAAGAGTTCCAGCTTAAGTGCTCTTCCTCACAGCAGCCATAGTATCTTTTAAAGTTTAATGAAAATAAGGTCTAGGGGTGACATGATAGCAGCATTCCAATATCTCAGGGATTGCCACAAAGAAGAGGGAGACAACCCGTTCTCCAAAGCACCTGAGGGCAGAACAAGAAGCAACTAATCAAGGAGAGAAGCAACCTAAAATTAAGGAGAAATTTTCTGACAGTTAGAACAATTAACTTCTGCCTCCAGAAGTTGTGTGAATGCTCCAACACTGGAAGTTTTTAAGGGATTGGACCACCATTTGTCTGAAATGGTTTTGGGTTTCCTGCCTGAGCAGGGGGTTGGACTTGATGACCTCCAAGGTCCCTTCCAACTCTGTTGTTCTACTCTGCTCTGCTCTGCTCTACTCTACTCTATTTTCAGATTCCAAAAACCAATAAAGAAACGTCATTCTTAAAAGCAGATTTATTTATTGCTCATGACCCATAGACAGAATCTTGCCAAATAATAATAATTATTATTATTATTAATAATAATAAAGTTGGAAGGGACCTTGGAGGTCATCAAGTCCAACCCCCTGCTCAGGCAGGAAAGCCTATACCATTATAGACAAATGGCTTTCCAGTCTCTTCTTAAAAACCTCCAGTGTTGGAGCATTCACTGCTTCTGGAGGCAGGCTGTTCCATTGTTATAACTATCAGGAAGTTTCTGCTTAGTTCTAGGTTGCTTCTCTGCTTGATCAGTTTCCATCCATTGCTTCTTGTCCTGCCTTCAGGTGCTTTGGAGACTAGCTTGACTCCCTCTTCTTTGGGGAAGCCCCTGAGATATTGGAACACTCCTATCATGACACCCCTCGTCCTTCTCTTCATTAAACTAGACTACCCAATTCCAGCAACCGTTCCCTATATGTTTTAGCCTCCAGTTAAATTAAAATATACTAACACCCCTATGAAGCATATACAGGTAGTCCTCGATTTACAACTTCGACTTAGGTTGTGTATTTCTTTTGATCCATATGGAGTTTCAGAGCCTGGGGTGGCGTATACAGGTAGTTCTCAACTTATGACCACAATTGAGCCCCAAACATTTGTTGCTGAGACATTTGTTAAGTGAGTTTTGCCTCATTTTACGACCTTCCTTGACATCATTGTTCAGTGATTCACTGCAGCTGTTAAGTTAGTAACACGGTTGTTAAGTGAATCTGGCTTCCCCCATTGTGACTTTACTTGTCAAAAGGTCGCAAAAGGTGATCACATGATCTGGGACACATAAGTACAGGCCAATTGTCAAACATCTGAATGTTGATCACATGGCATGGGGAGGCTGCAACGGTCATAAGTGTGAAAATGGCCATGCCACTTTTTTCAATGCTGTTGTAACTTTGAACCGTCACTAAATGAATGGTTGTAAGTTGTGGACTACCTGTACGCTGGGAACTCCTAAGGAGGGGCTGTCTTTCTCTCACACCACAGCTGAGCAATAAACTGCCCAGCAAAATATCTTACAAGTAGTCGTGTCTTTTCAGGTTTAACATGGCACAAAGTAAATTATCTGCCAGAAATCAGGGATAGGCAACCTTGGCTCTTTTTATGACTCGTGGACTTCAACTCCCAGAATTCCTGAGCCAGCCATGCTGAGGGGAAAGGGAGAGGTTTCCAAGCTGAGCCATGCTGGCTCAGGAATTCTGGGAGTTGAAGTCCACGAGTCATAAAACAGCCAAGGTTGCCTACCCCTGTGCCAGATCATTCTCCATAATGTGGCTCAGGCTGGACCAAAGGAAAGCAGATGTGTTTTGATAGATGGCTAGATCCATGGGTTGGACATCTGTCAAAACTTCATCTTTGAATGGGATGGGAGATTCCTAGCAGGCTCTTGGGCTAGATGCCCAGGATTCAGTCCTAAAAACCTTGACATTAAAAAAAGATAAACACAGAGAGAGAGAGAGAGAGAGAGAGAGAGACCGTCACCCAGATTAGATAAGATTAGATTTGTTGTTGTTGCTAATTACAAAGTCGTGTCTAACCCATCGCGACCCCATGGACAACGTTCCTCCAGGCCTTTCTGTCCTCTACCATCTTCTGGAGTCCATTTAAGTTCACACCTACTGTTTCAGTGACTCCATCCAGCCACCTCATTCTCTGTCGTCCCCTTCTTCCATGGCCCTCCATCTTTCCCAGCATTAGGCCCTTCTCCAGTGAGTCCTTCCTTCTCATTAGGTGGCCAAAGTACTTGAGTTTCAACTTCAGGATCTGGCCTTCTAAAGAGCAGTCGGGGTTGGTCTCCTCTAGGACTGACCGGTTTGAATGCCTTGCAGTCCAAGGGACTCGCAGGAGTCTTCTCCAGCACCATAGTTCAAAGGCCTCAATTCTTTGGTGCTCAGCCTTTCTTATGGTCCAACTTTCACAGCCATACATTGCAATTGGGAAGATTAGATTAGATAACCTTTATTATCATTTTTTCCTGTGGGCACAATGGCACACATTAAAAATGAAATTTAGTTGCTTCCTCTCAAAGTGTACACATACATAACACATTTAAAACGTACTATATACAACATATGTATAGACCTACACCCTTACATATAAGTAACATATAAATATTATTCACTGTCCATCTTGAATACATAACGGAAGGAGGAAGCTTTAGAGTTCACAAGGTTAATACCTTATGGAACAAAGCTGTGACTGAATCTGGATGTTCTGCTTCAGATACCATGGAGTCTCCTCCCAGAAGGAAAACAGGTCGTGAAGAGGATGTGTCGTCTCTCAGACAATCTTGCGGACCCTGCTCAAACAATGCTTCTGTGCTATGTCCTGGATGGGAGGGAGGGAACTGCCAATGATCTTTTCGACCATCCTCACCACTCTCTACACCGCCTTCCTGCCTGAAGCAGGGATGCTTCCAAACCAGACTGTGATGCTGTATGACAGGATGCTCTCGATTGTCCCTCTGTAGATCCTTAAGAATAATCTTAACAATACATGTAGCATAAAAACCACAATATTAAAGTAGTGATAAAACAGTGAAATTCCAGGGAGAAAACAATTGTTAAAACATCTGAAGTTAGAGGCCTGAAAACCACTCCTCTAACGTAGGGATCCCCAACCCCCGGTCCATGGACTGCCAGCAACCGGGCTGCACAGACAAGCAAAAACCCCTCTGTGAGATGCAGGCAGCATACAAAAGCATGCACTCTCCGGTCCGCGGAAAAACCTTTCTCCACGGAACTGGTCCCTGGTGCCCAAAAGGTTGCGGACCTCTGCTCTAAGGCAGTGTTTCCCAAACTTGACAATTTTAAGGCATGTGGACTTCAACTCCCAGAATTCCATAGCCAACTCTGGGATTTGAAGTCCTCATGCCTTAAAATTGTCAAGTTTGGGAAACACTGCTCTAAGGCAAGGGTCTTGAACCTTGGCAGCTTTGAGACTTGTGGACTTCAACTCCCAGAATTCCATGGCTGGCTAAGGAATTCTGGGAGTTGAAATCCACAAGCCGTAAAGCTGCCGAGATTGGAGAATCCTGTTTTAAGATTTTTGGGAAAAGAGTAAACCATAATCTTTAGCCAGTGACTTTCTCTTTCTACATATAGTCCAAGATGAAGATGAAGAAGAGTTTTTTGATGATGAAGTGATCACATTGCGAAGATTTTTCCCTGAGAGCTGGCTCTGGCAAACCTTCACTGTGGATAAAACCCTCACGTGAGTAGAACAGAAATTCATTTACAAGTCATGTTTCCTTTCTTGCAATAGGACAGGGTAGGCAACCTTGGCTCTTTTATGACTCGTGGACTTCAACTCCCAGAATTCCTGAGCCAGCATGGGGGAACTATGGCTCCCTTCATGACTGGTGGACTTCAACTCCCAGAATTCCTGAGCCAGCCTGGCTCAGCTTGGAATCTCTCCCTTTCCCCTCAGCATGGCTGGCTCAGGAATTCTGGGAGTTGAAGTCCACGAGTCATAAAAAGAGCCAAGGTGGCCTACCCCTGTGATAGGATGAATGCTTCATCCATGTCAGTTATTGGGCTGCAGGGACTCTTAAACTAGGCTCTGAGACCAAATATTTGCCTGTGTAACTACAGTAGTCCTGGACATGCAACAGTCCATTTAATGACCATTCAGACTTACAGCAGCACTGAAAAAAGTGACTTATGGATGTTTTTGACACTTACAACCGTGGCGGCATCCCCATGCTCGTGTGATCAAAATTCAGACACTTAGCAACTGACTCATATTTATGACAGTTGCAGTGTCCCCGGGTCACGTGATCAGGTCTTGCAACCTTCTGACCAGCAGAGTCCCTGCGGAAGCCACATTCACTTAACAACGGTGTTACTAACAGCTGCTGTGATTCACTTAACAACGGTGGCAAGAAAGGTCATAAAATGGAGGGAAAACTCACTTAACCACCGTCTTGCTTAGCAACAGAAATTTAGACCTCGATTGTGCTCGTAAGACGTGGACTACCTGTGAAGGGGTCTCGGGGGTCTGGGATGAGGGATTAATGCAAGGGTGAACAGTCTTAATGATAACCAGTGGCTGCATTAAAGATTTTGAAGAGTTTGATGGAAATGTCTGTGACACAGAAAGATGAAGAAAGCTTCTTCTTGGTCTTTTTCAGAGAACACTTTCATCTTCCCGATTCCATCACCACGTGGGAGATACAAGCAGTTAGCATGTCTTCTGAGAAAGGTAAACATTGATGATTTCTGCTTGTTCAGGAACCAGACACCGATAAACTTTGCCTCTCAAATATGTAACTCAGGGATCTCCAAACCTAGCAACTTTTAAGAGTTGTGGCCTTCACCTCCCAGAATTCCTCAGCCAGCCAGGAATTCTAGAAGTTGAAGTTCACTAGTCGTAAAGTTGCCAAGTCTGGAGATCCCTGTTCTAATCTCTTAATTCCCCAGCCTTTGATCAAGCTAGCTAAGATTAATGGGAACTGCAATCCAATAGCTCTGGAGGCAGAATACCAGAATAACGGAAGGGACCTTGGAGGTCTTCTAGTCCAGTGGTTCTCAACCTTTTTAATGCCGCGACCCCCAACCGGTCGTAAGTCGAGGACTACTCAACTGGTGCAGCACCATTTGCAGAATGGGACTTTTGGTGGGCTCAGCAGGGCGGAGACAGCCTGGACAATTCCTATTGGCTTTGTGAAAGCCAATAAGAATTAGACTCGATTTCAAGAGAGTCTCTTCTATTGGCTTTCAAAAGCAATAGAATAAAAGGGAGTAGCACAGTAAAGGAAAAAGGGGGGAAAAAAATGGCAGACTGCGTTGTTTGGCGACCCCCGTGAAATGGTCGTTCGACCCCAAATGGGGTCCTGACCCACAGGTTGAGAACCACTGTTCTAGTCCAACCCCCTGCTCAAGCTGGAAACCCTATATCATTTCAGACAAACAGTTGTCCAATCTCTTCTTCTCCAGTGTTGCAGCACCCACTTGTGGCTAGAAAAGGTTGCTTCGATCTGTGTCTGTCTCCCCAGATGCATTGGGCTCCATCTCTCCAGTCCAGGTTGCCCTCGACATACAACCATAATGAAATGTCTGAAATGTATAGGGTTTCCTGCTTAAGCAAGGGGTTGGACTAGAAGACCTCTAAGGTCCCTTCCAACTCTGTTATTCTGTTTAACATAATTTAAGGATCTTCCCTAATTGACTGTGGTTTGCCCAAGAGGAATGACACCATCCTAGTTCAGTTCTTTCCCCACAATATCACAGTGGCCCTTGAGATGAGAGCGGAAGTTTCTGTAGTTTAACTTTAGGGCAGGAGTCCCCAACCCCCAGGGGGCAGACCAGTACTATTCCGTGGTCTGTTGGAAACCAGCCACACAAGCGACAGACCAGCGAGCGAAGTTTCATCTGCGCATGCACAGGAACTAGGTCACATGCATGAAATCATCTCACCCCCCCAGGCAGGTCCACGGAATACAATTTTTCTTCTGAAGCCTATCCCTGGAGCCATAAATGTTGGGAACCGGTGGTTTAGAGTAAATCAAATGCAGGTAGTCCTTGACTTATGACCACTTGCTTAACAACTGTTTGAAGTTATGGCCTACCTGAAAAAAAGGAGACCCGGATCCGAAGTTCTGCCACCCACCCACTCGCCCACACTGTCGTGTAACTGCACTTCAGGATCTTGGCAACCAGACACATTTACGGCTGTCGGCGGTGTCCCATTGTCACAGGCCTGCATTTTACAACAGTTTTACTGAAAACTGTCAGTTACTTCTGGTTTCCGGCAAAACCAGGCCATAACAAACAAATAGGTCTACTTAACAATCATGCAGTTCATTTTACGACTGATGCGTTTGTGTAACAGCTGCCTCAAAAAATATTTTAAAATCGGGTCAGCTGGTTGTACAACCAGTGGTGGGATTCAAATATGTGAACAACCGGTTCTCTGTGTGGATGCCATTTCCGGAAGTTCATTCTGGGCCTGGGCAACAAAAAATTAGCTACTGGTTCTGCTGAAGTGGTGCGAACCGGCTGAATGTCACCACTGTGTACAACTATTATGACTTACGACTGCAATGGGCAGGCTCCATTACGGTCATAACTCGAGGACTACCTGTGCTGGATTTAGATGAACTGGTAGCCCAATCCATCCTCCGGACCTTTTGAATTTTTTTCTCTGTTTCTACCTGTTTCAGGGTGTTCCCAGTCAAACGATGGCTTGTCAGTTCAATATTTAAACTTCCCGTACCATAATTCTTATGTTTCCTTAGCTCCGTGCCTTGCTTGTTTCTTTTTTGTTTAGCAATGGAGTTTCATTGTTGCACAGCGGCTTCTCTTTGCTAATGCTGAGTTCTTCCTGTGTTTTTAGGGATTTGTGTTTCAGAGCCTTTCAAAATTACAGTCTTCCAAGAGTTCCACATTTCTCTCCGGCTGCCATACTCTGTGAAAAAGTTTGAACAGATAGAGCTTCGTCCAGTGTTATACAACTACCAGTCTGATCCACTCAGCGTAAGTGACGTGAAAATCCATACAATGATGCAAAAAATATTGGAAATTAATATTGCAATGAAACCAGATCTGTTTCTAGAATATTAGGTCTTCTGGACATTGAATTAGAAAAGCAATATAGAAAATACTATATAGAAAATACTATATAGCAGTGATGCCGAAACTTTTAGAGACCGAGTGCCCAAACTGCAACCCAAAACCCACTTATGCATCGTCGGGTGCCGGATGGGTGTGGCCAATTTGGGGTGTGTGGCCCATTGGGTAGGCGTGGCTGCGGTGGTAACGGCAGACTGGGTGGAACTAAAAAGTTCAATCAATCAATTTCAACTTTACAAGATTTTTTTTGTTGAAAAGTTGAAATTGACTGATTGAACCTTTTTTTTTTTTTTTTTTGTACACGGAGGCGGAGGCCTAAAGCGAAAAGGTTTTATAAAACCCAGCTGAAGGCCTAGGACTGGGGTGACAGCATGCATGCCCACAGAGAGGGCTCTGAGTGCCGCCTCTGGCACCCATGCCATAGGTTCGCCACCACTGCTATATATAAAATTTATACACACACACACACACACACACACACACACGTATACATGTGTATACATGTACATGTATATATATATATATGTTTGTGTGTATATGTATATATATATGTGTGTATGTATGTATGTGTGTATGTGTGTGTGTGTGTATGTATGTATGTATATATATATATATATTTGTTTTCTGAAGTTTTCGCGGGTATTTGTATGTAGGTCTTTGGTTGTTTGGGTTTTCTCCCATGTAAAATTGCCAAGACACTTCCAATTTTACGTGGGAGAAAACCCGAACAACCAAAGACCTATATATATATATATATATATATATATATATATATATATATATATATATATATATATAGTGCTATTTGATACACCCTGTCGACCTAAATATGGGAGAAAGAAATCTTTTGCCTTGTATCTGCTCAAATTAGAGCCATCCACAGGCATGTCAGTCACAACTGCGACATCATATATATTTCTATAATCATATTATATATTCTATAATATATATATTACATGTGGTCCTCAAATTGCGACAATTGACCCCGACATTTCTAAGTTGCTAAGTGAGACATTTGTTAAGTGAGTTTTGCCTCATTGTACGACTTTTCTTGCCATATTTATTAAATGAATCACTGTAGTTGTTAAGTAAGTAATACTATTGTTAAGTGAGCAATCAGTCATTAAGTCAAGGACTCCCTGTCATTTAGAAAAATAAGGACAAGCCAGAAATGTCTGGATCACCATCTGTGTCAGAATCAGAAGCAGCTGCTTGGTTGTTCTTGCAAAAGAAGTTTAACATTTTTTGTTTGATTTGTTTTCAATGTGTTATCAATGCATAAAATACAAAGAAAAATAAAAATAGGAAATTAAGGGAAGGGAAAAGAGAGGGGGAAAGAAAAGGTGAGGTACAAGGGAAGATACCGCTCTAATGGCAGAAAGTGAAGAGGAACTAAAGAGCCTCTTGATGCGGGTGAAGAAGGAGAGTCCAAAAGTTGGCTTGAAACTCAACATTAAGAAAACCAAAATCATGGCATCCAGCCCTCTCAATTCCTGGCAAATAGATGGGGAAGAAATGGAGGTAGTGACAGATTTTATTTTTCTGGGCTCCAAGATCAACTCAGGTGGGGACTGCAGCCAAGAAATTAAAAGACGCTTGCTCCTGGGGAGGAAAGCTATGGCAAATCTAGACAGCATACTAAAAAGCAGAGACATCACCCTGCCAACAAAAGTGCATATAGTCCAGGCCATGGTTTTCCCAGTTGCAATGTATGGCTGTGAAAGTTGGACCATAAGAAAGGCTGAGCGCCAAGAATTGAGGCCTTTGAACTATGGTGCTGGAGAAGACTCCTGCGAGTCCCTTGGACTGCAAGGCGTTCAAACCGGTCAGTCCTAGAAGAGATCAACCCCGACTGCTCTTTAGAAGGCCAGATCCTGAAGTTGAAACTCAAATACTTTGGCCACCTAATGAGAAGGAAGGACTCACTGGAGAAGCGCCTAATGCTGCGAAAGATTGAGGGCAATAGAAGAAGGGGACGACAGAGAATGAGATGGCTGGATGGAGTCACTGAAGCAGTAGGTGTGAACTTAAATGGACTCCAGAAAATGGTAGAGGACAGGAAGACCTGGAGGAACGTTGTCCATGGGGTCGCGATGGGTCGGACACGACTTCGCAATTAACCACCAACCACCACCACAAGGGAAGAAAGAAAAAAGTGTTGACTTCCTACTCTTTTTAGTACAGTACAAGATAACAAACATTACTGCCTCAGCTTTTTTACTTTTACACATTAGTTAAACAGAGGTAGGCAACCTTGACTCTGTTATGACTCGTGGACTTCAATTCCCAGAATTCCTGAGCCAGCATGGCTCAGTTTGGAAACCTCTCCCTTTCCCCTCAGCATGGCTGGCTCAGGAATTCTGGGAGTTGAAGTCCACGAGTCATAAAAGAGCCAAGGTTGCCTACCCCTGTGATAACGAGCCATTTCTATAACAACAAATCTATCTAATCGGCAAAACCAAAGTTAGTTTCATTTTTTTCACCACAAGTACAAAATCCAGAACTGATATCCAAACAGAAAACATAGTTAAATATATCCTCCTCTTTGAATAAAACAACCAATTTAACCATTTCTGCTTTATCTTCCTTGCTGTGGAAATAATATGCATTTCTATTTGTACAATAATCTAGCACCATTTATATTAACAAAATTCCCTGTATACTTTCAGATTCTTTAACTTTTAAGGGAAAAATACTTTTTTCCCCCTCATCTATTTTAAAACACCAAGCTTTCCTTTAAAACATTTCTGGAATCAAAACTTTGTAATACATCTAATACAGTTTAATATTTGAACATCTTGTTTCTCATTTTTTTGACTTAGGTCTTGGTATACCTGGAGCCGTCTGAAGGCATTTGTTCCCCAGCAACGTTTGGCCCAGCACGGAAACGGAAGGTGGAGGTGCCAGGGAACTCTGCAATTCCTATACCCTTTGTTCTGGTGCCCATGGGGGCGAGTGACATCCCCATCACCGTTGTTGCTCTTAGTGAATGGGGGATAGGGGACAAGGTTTCCAAGAAATTACGAGTCGAGGTAAGAAGCTTCAGTTACAGTCAACAGTGTCAAACCCACAATGCTCCATAATTTCGCTCCAGATGCAAAATGGTGTTAAGGCAGGATTTTTTTAAAAAAAACCTTCCAAAATCACAAAACTATGTCTCATTTATTTCGGCCATGTCATGCTGGAGAAAGCAATTATGTTAGGAAGATTTAGCGGCACCAAAGGACACAGTGTCTGGACACCGTGAAAGCTGACACCAGCCAGAGCATAGAACAGTGATGGCAAACCTTTTAGAGACCGACTGCCCAAAAACTGGCCCCGCCCCTGCTCCACCCCCAGCCCCGCCCCCAGCCCACCTGCCCGCAGGGCCACTCACCCCCTCCAGGCCCCGCCACAGATCGCCCAGGCAGCCCAGCAGCGCCATGGCGGCCACGCCCTCTGCCTGTGCCGCACAGCATCAACTGTGTGCGATGGGGCGTGAAGGCAGAGTCTTGTCTACGCTGCCTGGCTGCCATGTCCTTGGCTGCGCTGCTCTGCGTGGGCCATGCTCAGGGGCGACTCTCCTCCAGGGGGGCTGCTGGTGAGGAGGGGGTCGCAGGGGCAAGGCTGGGGCAATGGCACGTGTGCCCACAGAGAGAGCTCTGAGTGCCACCTCTGGCACCCATGCCATAGGTTCACCACCACTGGCATAGAACAACTCAGAGGAGCAGGGCAAGATTGGAAAATGCAGAGAGACCTGGCCCATAGAATCGCCAAGAGACGGGCAGGACTGAATGGGTAACATCATTATCATCATCATCACGATTGAGTATTCTCCAAGCTGAGGGTTAAATGTGCCTTTTGACTCGGGTGCTGCATATTGCCAAAATCGGAGGAAGGAGGATCAGAAACGGCAAGGAAATCCTGGCTGATTCCACTCTTAATCATAGCTAAACATAGCAATTTCAAATGACAAAGGCTTCGCAAATCCTGCTAAAATGCAAAATCACCAGCAGTTTTATAGGGTTTTCCTGGATTAGAGACGAGGAGAGGCAAATATCCTGCAGCTTTTATGCAAAATCCTCCAGACAGATGACCACATTTGCTAGTTGTGCACGTATTTACTGCACCCACTTGGATCACGAATACCGTTCATCTTTTATCAGTTGATAATAATAGCTACATAATCATGCCACAGTAAAACTTGGAGCTGGAAGGGAAGTAGAAAGAATTAAAGATTACAGTTAAAGGAGAATGTTCAAACTCTGTTTGCTTCTTTATATATTCATAAAGTTCTTTTTTTCTTTATTATTTTTTCTTTCTTTCCTCTTTCTCTTTTTTTTCTCTTTTCTTTCTTATCTGCACTTTCAACTTTGTCTCTTCATCCTTTTAGGGTTTTTTTATTTTGATGGTTGTTTTTTATTATTATAATTATAATTCTTAATAAAAAATACTACTAGAAAAAAAAAGAATCTGATGCTTAACCGCAGCTGTTTCATTTCTTCTCCCTTTTCAGAAAGAGGGTGCCATCAGGATAGAAGAATATACCGTTCCTCTTGATAGTAAAGGTAAGACATTGTGTCTGAGGTAAAAATTGTATTTATTACTTCAGGAAATAGATCTGCAAGAATTGGTGTTCACTACTCCAGAATAGCAATTAAGTCCTTCCAATACAGATAGTCTTCGACTTATGACCACAATTGAGCCCAAAAGTTCCAACGCTAAGTGAGACAGTTGTTAAGTGAGTCTTGCCCCCATTTTACAACCTTTCTTGCCACAGCTGTGAAGTGAATCCCTGCAGTTGTTAAGTTCGTAATACGGTTGTTAAGAGAATCTGGCTTCCCCATTGACTTTGCTTAGTCAGAAAGTCACAAAAGGGGATCACATGACCCCGGGACACTGCAACCGTCATAAATATGAGTCAATTATCAAGTGTCCGAATTTTGATCACATGACCATAGAGATGCTGCAAAGGTCATGAAAAATCGTTATAAGGCACTTTCGAATGAAGGCAAATACACGTGTCCCAGGATAATGATGCGAGATCGAATTTGGTTCGGTCACCGGGACCAGAGATTTATTCTTCCGAGCTTTCAGACTCATGCTGGAGCCCATCTTCAGGGAATTTCTCTCTACTGGAATACATGCTGTTCTGTGAGTTGTGTTTACCTGGTGCCTTCCTATTGATTGATTGATATGTTGATGGCTGGCGATTGGCTGTCATTTCCTTCTGCTGCCAAGCCCCAGCTCCTAAGAATTTGATAAGCTGGTGGTAAATCAGTACATCCGTTAATTGACAAGGGGCCCGTTTCCCAGGCTTCAATCCTTTCCCTGGCTCTCTTTGTACCTGCTTGGCCAATGAACTTAAGTCGCTGTGGAATTAAATGTGTGTCCTTGTTCATTCCAATGTGAGGCTACCAATGAATTTGGATTTCCTCATCTGACTGCTCACTTGTATTCTTGCAAGAAGCTCACCGGTGGCCGAACCCAATTCAACCTCGCATAAGTCACTGTTTTCAGTGCTGTTGTAAATTTGAATAGTCACCAAATGAACTGTTGTAAGTTGAGGAGAGGGTTGCGTTTCCCACGAAGGCATCCTTAGAAAACAGGTGAGTCAATCTGCAGCAAATTTTGAAAGATAGCTGAACCTGCTGGATTATCCATTTGCCTCTGCCCCAAGCCTATCTATCTATCTTACACAATGATTGGTGGATGTTTTCCTATAGGCAGGGGATGTTTCATGAGAGGGAAGGGAAGCCAGAAGGCCCCTCCCTGTCTTTAACAAACTCTTTATGCCCAAAATAAGGAGAGCTTCGTTGAACGGGATAAGGATTGATAGTGGAAGCAGCAAATTTTAGTCCGATACTAGGCAACCCCTTGACCTGTTGGCTCATCCTTTCAGAAATATTTCCTTATCAGATTTCTGAATGCCTTCAATGTCTAATGTAATTTAAAAGTTCATAAAAATGCAGGTATTCATTCAGAGATGTATCTGCCTTAAAAACAGCCCATATTGAATTGTTAGGCACAGTCAAACATGAACACAAGAAATCTTTTAGGACATTTTGTATTATGTCTCCCTAAGCCAGGGGTAGGCAACCTTGGCTCTTTTATGACTCCTGGACTTCAACTCCCAGAATTCCCAAGCCAGTCATGCTGAGGGAAAAGGGAGAGGTTTCAAGCTGAGCCATGCTGGCTCAGGAATTCTGGGAGTTGAAGTCCACGAGTCATAAAAGAGCCAAGGTTGCCTACCCCTGCCCTAAGCCCTTTCATGATAACTTATTATGTTATAAAATGTTTTATAAAATCTGTCACATTTCAACTCCCTGAAATTCATGGGACCCAGATTTTGGACGCATTCTGTAAATTAGCCCATTTGAAGTACCTTGGTTCACAACCTTGTTATCCTATGGTGCACCATTTCACCCAGTTAACAATAGATAGATTAGAACAGAATGGAATTCTTTATTGGCCAAATATGATTGGACACACAAGGAATGACAGGAACCAGAGTTTTCATGGTATATACTTTCTGGAGCATGTTGACTGTTCTTTAACTTGGCTATAAGGAAGGCCTAATGGACTAGAAATGAAAAGTTAGACAGCTACTGCCCTTAGCCACTGGAAATTTCTTCTGGGTGGTCCTTCTATACCTGTTCTAACATCTGGCACATCTGAATGAAGGATGGCATTTCTGAGGGAGGGAAGGAAGCTATCAGAGGCAAGACTTCTAAATAATTTGCGAGGGCTTTAGAACAGTGGTTCTCAACCTTTTTAATGCCGCGACCCCCCAACCGGTCGTAAGTCGAGGACTACTCAACCGGTCGTAAGTCGAGGGCTACTCAACTGGTGCAGCACCATTTGCAGAATGGGACTTTTGGGGGCTCAGCAGGGCAGAGACAGCCTGGACAATTCCTATTGGCTTTTGAAAGCCAATAGAATAAAAGGGAGTAGCACAGCTAAGGAAAAGGGGGGAAAAATAGCAGACTGCGTTGTTTTGCGACCCCCGTGAAATGGTCGTTCGACCCCAAATGGAGTCCCGACCCACAGGTTGAGAACCACTGCTTTAGAAGATGCTACACTGGAGCAATATGGAGCTAATCCTTTCTTTCATTTGGGGTTAGATGAACGCACCAGATCTACGAAGATTTCAGGTGAATTGCCATCCAACGCCATTCCTGATGGAGACTTCAAGATGAGTGTCCGTCTGACAGGTGAAGAGAAAATTTGAGGTTTTTGATGCCAAGAGTGCTTAGCTTTCTATTCACTACCAGGGCTACAGTGGAGTCATTTCAGATCAGCTTCCCCAACCAGCCCCTCTTAACAGAATACTAGCATAACAGACTTGGAAGGGACTTTGGAGGTCTTCTAGTCCAACCCCTGCTCAAGCAGGAAACCCTATGCCATTCCAGAGATCTGGTGGTCCAGTCTCTTCTTAAAATCCTCCAGTGTGGGAGCAGTCACAACTTCTGGAGGCTAGTCGTTCCACTGATCGAGTTCTACCAGGAAATTTCTCCTTACCATAGTTTCTAGGTTGCTTCTCTCCTTGATCAGTTTCCATCCATTACTTCTTGTCTGTTCACAATTAGCCCATTGCTAAGTGACCCGGTCATAAAGTGAATCATGTCCAATGAAGACATTTTTTGCTACATCGAGTTAAGTGAATCCAGATTCCTCCATTGACTTTACTTGTCAGAAGTCAACTGGGAGGGTTGCAAATGGCAACCACGCAATCCCAGGGTCAGTGCAGCTGGCATAAGTACAGGTCAGTTGCCAAGTGTTTGAACTGCAATCAGGTAATTATTTGTTCATCTTCACACAGGATCAGTTCCTGCTGACACCCTTCAGAGTTCTCTGGATCCTGATGGCATCTCCTCCCTGCTGCGGGTGCCAAACGGATGTGCGGAACAGACCATGATATTGATGGCCCCTGCAGTCTATGCCATGCAGTACTTGGACCAGACAGAACAGTGGCTCAATCTAAAACCGGAAAGCAAAGAAGTTGCCTTAGCAAATCTCCGCACAGGTAGATAAGACACCCAAGGGGAATAGGCTATATCAGTGGTTCTCAACCTGTGGGTCGGGACCCCATTTGGGGTCAAACGACCATTTCACAGGGGTCGCCAAACAACGCAGTCCACCATTTTTTTCCCCTTTTCCTAAGCTGTGCTACTCCCTTTTATTCTATTGGCTTTTGAAAGCCAATAGAATAGACTCTCTTGAATAGAGTCTAATTCTATTGGCTTTCAAAAGCCAATAGGAATTGTCCAGGCTGTCTCTGCCCTGCTGAGCCCACCAAAAGTCCCATTCTGCAAACAGTGCTGCACCAGTTGAGTAGTCCTCAACTTACGACCGGTTGAGTAGTCCTCGACTTACGACCAGTTGGGGGTCGCGGCATTAAAAAGGTTGAGAACCACTGGGCTATATGATCTTTAGTAATAAGAACATTGGAGGGGATACCCTTTATCAGCCATATCAGCTGATAAATCAAAAAGGAACACCGCCGTTAATTGAGTAGGGTTTATATCATCACCCTACTGGCTTTCTCTGGAACCAGGGTCTCCAAACTTGGCAACTTGAAGACTTCAGGACTTCAGAATTTCCATGCTGGCTAGGGAATTCTGGGAGCTGAAGTCCACAAATCTTAAAGTTGCCAGGTTTGGAGATTCCTGATCAGCAATGACCAGCTGATATTCTCCTCAATCAACGATTCTCTGTTCAATGTGCCACTCAGGGAACGAGAGTGCAGATAGAAAACCAGTCTTTCTCCTTCTCAAAAAGCACCATTAAGTTCGTCTCTCTTTCATTGTTTGCACTGCAGGCTATGCTAGAATCCTCACCTATCGGAAAAACGATGGATCTTATGGAGCTTGGATCCACACCCCCAGCAGCACCTGGTAAGAACCAGCCCTGCAGAAGAGGTTGGGTGTCAGCCACAGGGAAGAGAGGAGTGACCTTGAGTGGGGATCATAGAGTTGGGAGACACCATAGAGATCTAATCCTATCTGTGCTCAGGGTGGAATGCACTAGCCCCTCTCTGACAGATGACAGTGTGAAGATCTCTAATAAAAAGAAAGTCACCTTGTCATATGGCTGCCTCTTCCGCTGAGTGACAGCTCTGTTTTGCCAAGGGTCGGGGCAGTGATCAGGTGCCAGGCAACTGGTTCTTTCGGATCCAGAGACATTGAACTGTCCAGCAAATAGCAATAGCACTTAGACTTATATACCGTTTCACAGTGCTTTTACAGCCCTCTCTAAGCGGTTTACAGAGTCAGAATATTGCCCCCCCCACAATCTGGGTCCTCATTTTACCGACCTCGGAAGGATGGAAGGCTGAGTCAACCTTGAGCGGTTGAGAATTGAACTGCAGGCAGCCGGCAGGCAGCAAAATTAGCCTGCAGTACTGCATTCGAACCACTGCGCCACAACAGCTCATAAATAAAGGGATTGTAAGCTTTACTATTATTTCAAGCAAAGAGATTTAAAAGCATAACATCAAAAACGTACCTACCAACAAAATGACACCTAAATCTCTGTCAAGCTGCTAAGAGCTCCTTAATGACAGCAGAGGTACGCCAGTGGTGGCCAATTTTCACAGCACCTAGTGCTAGGTACCATGCAAAAGCTACCAATTCTTAATAGCCTCTTTGTCTTTTAGTCTCTAGAAAACTAGGGAGGGTACTACATTCGTGTCCAGAACACTGAAGTGCTTCCAAGTTGAGAGGATTAACTGGTGACATCACTGTTGCCCGTGTGTGTCTGTGTGTGTCTCTCTGTGTGTGCCAGTTGGGGGTATTGTTTAAAAATATAAATTATCGCAGCCTTTTTCTTATTTTCTTCTTGTGATAACACAGGAACATAAACATCTGACAGTGGTTGTTAAAAGAACTGTGGTTTAAAATACAGTATGAAACAACAATATTCAGGGAGCATACAGAATACAAGAGAGTCAGTTATATTCAAACAGTTGATGTGAGCAAGCAGGTTCCAACTGCCATTCTCCTCAGGCACAGTCTCTTAAAGGGATACTACCCCCAAATACTCTGCTGACTCATTCTCTATATATCACTTCTGCCGGTCAGTGACTAAATCGTAATTACCTTGATAGGGGGCTCCTTTCATGTTCCTGTTAAGTTGCCCACTGAAGTGGTACCCATCTGCTCATGGTCGCACACTTTCAAATTGCAGGATTGACAAGAGCTGGAGTGAGTGACAGGAGCTCACCCCATCATGCGGCAACCGGGCTTCGAACGCGAGCCTGCCAATTCTTAGCCCAGCATCTTAACCACTAGGAAGGGTCCTAGGCTGAGATATCTTTCAGGGTGAGATAGGAGGATCCTAGAATGAAATTTTTTTTTTTTTTACGCATCAGTTGTCCGGTTTGTAGCTCTCCATCCTGTCTCCCAAGATCATTCCCATGGACCATTACAATATGGTGGCCAGGCTCACATTCAAAACCCAGTTGCTGCATGATGGGGTGTCCATCTGTTAGCCGTAAAACATGGCAAGGTTCTTAACCCAGTATGCCTTTTGCCAAATAGGATCTGAGGTGGATAGGTAGAATTAATATATTTTTATTTATGTATAAGTAAAGACTCCCACAGGTTCAAAGTGAGAAGACCCTCAGAAAGGAGAGAAATCACCTTATATACAGATCAAACATACTGGGTTTGGAATGAGTTCTTCAACTGGCCAGCATCGTTTGAGTCATCAAGCATCTAGAGAGCATGCCCACTAATTATACATGTACCATATAACGGTTCATGATGATGAAGTTATCCATTCAGCCGTGTCTGACTCTTGGCGACTTTGATGGTGTCCGGTCACCATATTCTTTGGCAGCCTGGTTTCCTTTTACCAAACCCTTCCAAACACACAGTAATTGTTTTCTCCAGTGAGTAACAATCAGAATAGAGCTGAAAGGGACCTTGGAGGTCTTCTAGTCCAACCCCCTGCTCAAGCAGGATACCCTAGACCAGGAGTGTCAAACTGCTGGCCCGTGAGTTGGATACATCATAGCAAAACCGCGCCCACCCCATTGCCGGCAATGGCAAAAAAGTTACGATACGTCACGACACGTCACGTGATGTTGCGGAGTTTGACACCCCTGTCCTAGTCCATCTCAGACAAGTGACTGTCAGTCTTTTCTTAAAAACTTCCAGTGATGAAGCACCCACAACTTCTGGAGGCAAATTGTTCCACTGTTAGGAAGTTTCTCCTTAATTCCAGGTTGCTTCTCTCCTTGACTAGTTTCCATCCACTGCTTCTTGTCCTGCCTTCTTCATATCATCATCTGATATCATATATCAGTGGTGGCGAACCTATGGCATGGGTGCCAGAGGCGGCACTCAGAGCCCTCTCTGTGGGCACGCACACCATCGCCCCAGTCCTAGGCCTTCAGCTGGGTTTTATAAAACCTTTTTGCTTTAGGCCTCTGCCGCCGTGTACAAAAAAAAAAAAAAAAGGTTCAATCAATCAGTCAATTTCAACTTCTCGTGGGGAAAAAAAGATCTTGCAAAGTTGGAATTGATTGATTGAACTTTTTAGTCCCACCCAGTCTGTCGTTACCACTGCAGCCATGCCCATCCAACGGGCCACACCCACCCAATTGGCCACACCCACCCGGCACCTGACGATGTATAAGTGGGTTTTGGGTTGCAGTTTGGGCACTCAGTCTATAAAAGGTTCACCATCACTGATATATCATATCAGTTCATATCATCCCCTAATAATCTTAGCATTAACTCGTTAATGACCAACTGAATATTTAGGAGGTGTAGTTTGTACATTATAATGAGTTTACGAGATATTAAAGTTCTATCTTCTAGTTGTTCTTCTCTTTAGCCCGTCTGAGATGAGTCTTCTCAGAATTTCATGTTCTTGCTTGTTACTTCAAGGGATCAGTAATCAAAGGCACTCCTTGTTACCGAAAATAGTTATACAAAGAGGCCCTGTTTCTCCTGCTCCCATCACACCAGCCTCCCTTTTAAAATGGGTTGCCTGCTCGCGTCCCCATCCACACTTCCAGGAGCCACGAGAGTTTACGCTTTTCACTTTTGCTTCAGGCTTACAGCTTTTGTGGTGAAGGTTTTGTCCCTGACTCGGATCTACCAGGAGGTGGATAGTGCCGGGATCCGGGGATCGGTGCAGTGGATTCTGGAACAGCAACAGAGTGATGGTTCTTTCAGAGATTCCCACCCTGTCTATCACCGAGAAATGCAGGTGAGGTCTTCGGCCCCTGGTTTAGCTCATTTCTCAATTTCTTTTTGCACACATACAAAAGAGACTCTTGTGCCTCAAAATTCAGCACATTTTCTCCCCCCCCCCTTCTCTCTAGGGCGGTATGGGTGGCCTCCGTGAGGGAGTCGCATTGACAGCCTTTGTCACCCTCTCGCTGAAGCAAGCTTTGCCTATATATAAAGCCAAAGAAGCGGATGAAGAGGCAGAAAGGCAGAAACAGGAACAGCTGAGCCGATTGGTATGAGGCCCCCACTGTGCTTTCCCATGTGAAAACATTGCTATATAGGGCGTGGCATCCAGGACATCTCTACTTTCCCCTTTAAAAAAAAAAGGAAATAAAGTTACCAGTCCTCATGAGTGTTCCAGCCAGCAGGCAGTTTGCATGCGCTGCTAAAGCGTCAGTAGAATTACAGGTAGTCCTCGACCACAACGGAGCCCAAATTTTCTGTTGCTAATCGAGCCATTTCTTAAGTGAATTTTGCCTTATTTTATGACCTTCCTTGACCGTGGGGTTAAGTGTGAAAAACAGTCATAAGTCACTTTTTTCAGTGCCGTTCTAACTTTGAACGGTCACTAAATGAACTGTTGTAAGTTGAGGACTACTTGTACGTACTTTATGCAGGAGAACTTGGTACAGTAAAATGATTAACTCTTGGACATCCCTGGTTTAAATCTTATTAAATAAAATATTTTTTGCTGATCTCTCTCCTATATAGAAAAATTGGCATTGGAGACTCCATTCTCAAGTAAAGCTCATTTCTCAGATATGTTCTCTTTGATGGGGGAACTCCAGTCTTTTTATATGCACACTAGAACAGGGGTAGGCAACCTTGGCTCTTTTATGACTCGTGGACTTCAACTCCCAGAATTCCTGAGCCAGCAATGCTGAGGGGAAAGGGAAAGTTTCCAAGCTGAGTCATGCTGGCTCAGGAATTCTGGGAGTTGAAGTCCACGAGTCATAAAAGAGCCAAGTTGCCTACCCCTGAAGAAACCTGCCCCGTGTTACCCATTACAAATATTGCTCCCTTTTATTAATTTTTTTGAATGGTAATGGATTTTTTTTTAACCAGCCTGCTAGAAAGCCCACATTTTTTTGCACGTTTGCTAAGCTTATTTGTGTAACATTCCATGATATGCACACTGAACTTTTTTAACGTATCCATTTCCCTTATAATGCTTTTTTTTTTTTTTGGTACAATGAGAAAATGCTCGCTTCTTTTGTTTAAACCAGGGCTTGCCAAACTTGGCAACTGTAACATTTGTGGAGTTCGACTCCCAGAATTCAACTGGAATTCAGCATGGCTGGCTAGGAAATTCTGGGAGTTGAAGTCCACAAGCCGTAACAATTGCAAAGTTTAGAGACCCCTGGTTTAAACCATAAATTTCCAAATATGCTTCACCCCAGAGATGTACACCATTTCTCCAAATACAATGCATCAATCTTTTTCTGGTGAGAAATTTTTTTTTTTTTTTGCCAAAGAACAATGAACACTAGCATGCCCTGGCTTAACATTTCCAGCACTGCCATAACACAATCTGTGTTAGCGAATTGTGTCAGTTCCCTTTCACAAGTGCTCCACTGCCCCCACACTCTATTTTTCCCATTTCTGTGGAGGAATTCTCTTTCTCTACAGCAGTGTTTCGGAACCTCAGCAATATTAAGATGTGTGGACTTCAACTCCCAGAATTCCTCAGTGAGCATTCTGGATTCATCATCAAGTCCATGCTGCCTGGGGAACTCTGGGAGCTGAGGTCCACACATCTTAAAGTTGCTGAGGTTCAGAAAAACTGCTCCACAGATCAACAACAAGAAATACTGTACAGGTAGTCCTGGACTTATGGCCACAATTGAGCCCAACATTTACCTTGTTAAGCGAGACGTTTGTTAATTGACCTTTGTCCCATTTTACGACCTTTCTCGCCACAGTTGTAACTATGAACCAGTTGCCAAGCATCTGAACGTTGATCACGTGACCATGGGGATGCTGCAATGGTTGTAGTGTGTAAAATGGTCATAAATCAGTGCTATTGTAACTTTCAACGGTCACGAAACAAATCGTTGTAAGACGAGGACTATCTGTAATGTGTAATAATAAACCTGGGATAACCCAAAGGCCACAAGACATGAGTTGGAGGTCCGTAACCAGCTCCAATGTAATTTTCTTCTCTTCCAGAAAAATAGCTTGGCACTTGCAACGGAGTATCTTGCCAGATCCCTGGGTGATCAGTCTCAGGGGCCGTACCCTGTGGCCATCAGCAGCTACGCCCTCGCTCTCTCTTCGAAGGACAAATCCGCCATTGCACTGGCTGAGAGCCGCCTACTGGAGCTTTCCTCAGAAGATAAAAGTATTGTCACTCTTCCTTCTGAAATATCTGGGATTGTGTGTGTGTGTGTGTGTGTGTGTGTGTGTGCGCGCGCGCGCGCGCGCGCGCGTGCATTGTGGGAAGTTCTATATCAAAATACATTTTATTCTCTACACTCTTTCCATCTTCCCTTAAAACATTAACAGAATCCATAATGTTCTGAGAATCAGCGTCTCCACTAGATAATTGACAGTCAAGCTGAAATTAATTCAATCAAGTAAAAATAGCAAACGGAAAGAAAAAACTTTTACTTCCTCAAACCCTCAATCAGTTACCAGACCTAATCCACATATCAAAGGATAAGGTCTGCAAACACAAATAGAGTTAAATGTCTGTGGAGATTCTTAGTCATCCAGGTCAAGGTGCTTTTTTTCCCACGAGGCAACTGGACTTTCTTGCGTTTCTTTGAAGATGTTTCACTTCTCACCCAAGAAGCTTCTTCAACTCTGACTGGATGGTGGGGAATGGAAGGATTTTGTTACTAGCTGAACAGCTGCAGTGATTAATTTAACAACTGTGGCAAGAAAGGGTGTAAAATGGGGCAAAATTCACTTAACAAATGTCTCATTTAGCAATGGAAAATTTGGGCTCACTTGTGGTCAAATCAAAGATTATCTGTATTAGATACGTTCACCACCTTGAACTACAGTATTTGTAAAAATAATAATGTGTATAATACATATACACATACTGTACACATACACATACTCATACACATTAGGGGACTGGAAGCTAAAACATACAAAGAACAGTTGCTGAAACTGGTTATGTCTAGTTTAATGAAGAGAAGGACGAGGGGGGACATGATAGCAGTGTTCCAGTATCTCAGGGGCTGCCACAAAGAAGAGGGAGTCAAGCTGTTCTCCAAAGCACCTAAAGGCAGGACAAGAAGCAACGGATGGAAACTGACCAAAGAGAGAAGCAACCTGGAACTAAGGAGAAACTTCCTGAGCGTTAGAACAATCAACCAGTGGACAGTTGTGAATGCTCCAACACTGGAAGTTTTTAAGAAGAGATAGCTGTTTGCCTGAAATGGTATAGGTTTCCTGCCTGAGCAGAAGGTTGGACTAGAAGACCTCCAAGATCCCTTCCAACTCTGTTATTCTATTCTATTCTATTCTATTCTATTCTATTCTATTCTATTCTATTCTGTTGTGGTTGTTGTTGTTAATTGCGAAGTTGTGTCCGACCCATCGCGACCCCATGGACAACATGGACAACATGTTGTCCATGGACCCCATGGACAACAATTCTATTCTATTCTATTCTATTCTATTCTATTCTATTCTATTCTATTCTATTCTATTCTATAATAATAATAGTAATAATAATAATAAAGTTGGAAGGGACCTTGGAGTCATTTAGTCCAACCCCCTGCTCAGGCAGGAAACCTTATACCATTTCAAACAAATGGCTGTCCAGTCTCTTCTTAAAAACTTCCAGTGTTGGAGCACCCATACCTTCTGGAGGCAGGTTGTTCCACTGGTTAATTGTTCTAACTGTCAGAAGTTTCTCCTTAGTTCTAGGTTGCTTCTCTCCTTGATTAATTTCCATCCATTGCATCTTGTCCTGCCTTCAGGCACCTTGGAAAATAGCTTGACTCCCTCTTTGTGGCAGCCCCTGAAATATTGGAACACTGCTATCATGTCACCCCTAGTCCTTCTCTTTGTTAAACTAGACATACCCAATTCCAGCAACCGTTCTTATATATTTTAGCCTCCAGACCTAATTCTATTCTATTCTATTCTGTTCTGTTCTGTTCTATTCTATACACATGCATGTACCTATACCTATACACAGATCTAACCTCCCTCAATTCCTGCAGAAACTCTGAGGCAAATGAGATGCCCCACTATGACTGATTTTCTGCCCTCAGTCCCCTGCTGACCATTGACAATCACACCTACATATTTTTACCTGGACAATCTAACCTCAACATGGCCTTCTGGGTCTCTTGATCATGCCTTCATCCACTGTTTTAACTGAGTTAATGCCTCTTGCTGCGTTCACCCCGTCTTCTCTTTCTTTCCACTTTTCCCAGCAACAGGGACTTCTCAAGGGAGTTAAGTCTTTGCGTGACATGTCCAAAATAGGTTGCAGGTAGTAGTCCTCGACTTACAACAGTTCATTTAGTGATCCTTCAAAGTTACAACAGCACTGAAAAAAGTAACTTACGACCGTTTTTCACATGACCCCGTTGCAGCATCCCTTTGGTCATGCAATCAGAATTTGGACACTTGGCAACTGGTTCCCATTTATGACAGTTGCAATGTTCCGGGGGGGGGTGTCATGTGATCTCCTTTTGCGACCTTCTAACAAGGACAGTCAACGAGGAAGCCAGATTCACTGAACAGTTGCGATACTGACTTAACAGCTGCAACAATTCACTTAACAACTGTGGCAAGAAAGGTCATAAAGTGGGGCAAAACTCACTTAACAAATGTCTCATTTAGGTAACAGAAATTTTGGGCTCCATTGTGGTCGTAGGTCGAGGACTACCTGTAATTTGAGCCTGGTTACAGTATTTGTGTTTCAAGTGAGAACCTCTGGATGGATTTGTTCTGTGAACCACTGGATTGTTTAATACCTGTAAGAAATGAATGAATGAATCAATCAATCAATCAATCACTCAGTCACTCAATCAATCAATCAATCAATCAAAAATACCTATAAGCATCTCTTCTGCTTTGGCCTTAAATTCTTTTCTCTCGTTCTTGGCTTTCCAGACAGCACCATGATATATTGGTTAGCGGACCATCAGACAAGGGTGCCTTCAGCTATCTCAGTGGAGGCCACAAGCTATGCCCTTCTCTACTTCTTGAAGCAAAATGATTCTGCAAGAGCTAGCAAGATAGCTCACTGGCTGACTGAGCAGAGGAACTACGGAGGAGGATTCAGATCAACACAGGTACTGGCTGGTGTGACCCAACCCTTGCTCATCAGAAAAGGAGCAGTGAAAATGCAGCAACAGCCAAAAAAGCCAATGTAATCTTAGGCTGCATTAATAGAAAGATAGAAATAAAATCACACAAAGTTCTAGTACCACTCCATAAAGTTTAAGTAAGACCACACATGGAATAGTGTATCCAGTTCTGGTCATTACAATATAATAATAATCATGATGATCATGATCATGATCATGATGATACAGTATTTAATAATAATAAAGAGAATAGCTTGACTCCCTCTTCTTTGTGGCTGTAACCAGGCTCAAATTACGGGTCGTGATCGGCTTACGACCACAATTGAGCCCCAAATTTATGTTGCTAAATGAAACATTTGTGAAGCGAGCTCTTCCCCCCTTTTACGACCTTTCTGGTCACCGTTGTTAAGTGAATCATTGCCGTTATTAAGTTTAGCAACACGGTTGTTAAGTGAATCTGGCTTCCCCACTGATTTTGCTCTTCAGGAAGTCATAAAAGGGGATCACGTGACTCCAACGACACTGCAGCCGTCGTAAATATGAGTCGGTTGCCAAGCGTCCGAATTTTGATCACGTGACCCATGCGGATGCCGCAAACAGTCATAATTGTGAGGGAAAAGTCGCTTTTTTTCAGGGCCCTGGTAATTTCAAACTGTCCCTAAATGAATTGTTGTTAACTCGAGGACTACCTATACAGAGAAAATAGCGCACAAAAGAGACAGGGATGATTTAAAAGAGCGGTGGATTTTGGTGGGTCAGGGAATACATACAAATCTTCAGGAATTTGTAGAACAAATACAAAAAGGGAGATACAGTGAACACAGGCCTCACAAAATATGGTGACCTAGAGCAGGGGTCCCCAACCTTGGCAACCTTAAGACTTGTGGACTTCAACTCCCAGAATCCCTCAGCCAGCAAAGCTGGCTGAGGAATTCTGGGAGTTGAAATCCACAAGTCTTAAAGTTGCCATGGTTGAGGGAGGACCCCTGACCTAGAAAGTGAACGATAGGCAATTGTCTATTTTCTATGTGGGTTCTCCTAAAAGGTGCCAGAGTACTGATTTTTGTGGTGGCTTCTCTTCCCAGGACACAGTGGTGGCTTTGGAAGCCCTTTCCATCTACTGGATCAGCACCTTCACGGAAGAAGGGAATGAACTAACAGTATCTCTTTCTGTCCCTGGGAAACACTTGCCTATTCAGATTTCCTTCGGAAGATCCAATGATCCGATCCAGGAAGAGCTTCAGGTATTCATGTTGAGATGGCTGTTTACGTGATGGGGAGTGAAACGTGCAGATGGGTATAAACCAGTGGTTCTCAACCTTTCTAATGCCGCGACCCCATAATACAGTTCCCCATGTTGTGGTGACCCCAACCACTTATACATCACCGGTGCCAGGGGCGTGGCCAAAGAAAAGGGGGAAAAAATGGCGGACAGCCTTGTTTGGCGACCCCCTTGAAATGGTCGTTCGACCCCAAATGGGGTCCCGACCCACAGGTTGAGAACCACTGGTATAAACCCATCCAGTCAACTTTGACAAACCCCGATTTAAATAATACTGATACCAGCACTCAAAATGGCTGATGTTGCAATTTTTGTGTGTGTGTAAGAAAAGGGGGGACATGTTTTGCCATTAGGTTTCAAACTGTCTTTTGTATTTATGTGCTTGCAAGGAGATTTATACGTACAACATATGACTTTTGTCGAAGAGTTAGGCTACTCATTTTTTAATGACAACGCTATTTTTGTTGTTATTTTGCAACGTAATTCTGAGGTGTTTTTTCCCCTTCAGTTTTCTTTGGGAAAAGACATTGACGTGAAAGTGAAAGGAAAAGGGAAAGGAACTCTGACGGTAAGTAATTTCATACTACTATTATATACTGAATGATGGGTTGAATGATGACTACTACGGTTTTTACCATGATTACAGAGTGACATAATGGCTTTTTTCTCTTAGCCTCATAGCGGGGCTGAAAAATAGGTAGTTCATTCATTTAATGACCATTTGAAGTTACAGTGGCACTGAAAAAAAGTGACTTATGATCGGTCCTCACACTTACGACTGGTCACACGATCAAAATTCCAGCACAGCAAATGCTACCACATGTATTTATGACGGTTGCAATGTCCCAGAGTCATGTGATTGACATTTGCGAATTTCCCGGCTAGCGTCCAACAAGGAGAGAATGTGGGAATCCGGATTTGTTATCAGCTGTGTAATTCACTGACGAATTGCAGGGATTTCCTTAACAAGAAAGGTCGTAAATGACCCACTCAGTAACCGCCTCGCTTAGCAATGGAAATTTTGGTCCCAATTGCTTTTGTAAGTCGAGGACCATCTGTAGCGATGAGACAGGCACTGTGTTTGGTCAAAGCACAACAGGGGAGCTTGGTGATGCTAACAATTACTTGTGGAGTCACAGGTGATTTAGTTTTTTTTCTGAAATCCACCAGCCTTCTGTCCCTTTTAAAAAAATGGGAAGAAGCATTCTGTGTGTAACCATCGTCCATTTGCTAAACCTTAGTCCCAAGATAGTTCAGGGCAAAGAAAGTTTCTGTTTTAGAAATGAGTTGTTTATAGCTTGTACTTAATAAAGAGGATGTGAGTCAATGAATGGCATGCAACATGGTTTGTTTTGAGCTAACACACCTGGCTTAGCTGAATCCTCAGTCAAATTCCCTTTACTGGGAAGATACTTTCTTCCCACAGTGGAAATAGAAAGTCTGTGTTCAAAACAAGAGGCTCAGACAGTTGGGGATTTGAATAAATTAATAATAATAATAATGATAATGATAATAGTAGTAATAATAATAATAATAATAATAATAATAATAATAATAATAATAATATGAGGATGTTGGAAGGGACCTTGGAGGTCATCTAGTCCAACCCCCTGCTCAGGCAGGAAACCCTATACCATTACAGACAAATCGCTGTCAAGTCTCTTCTTAAAAACTTCCAGCGTTGGAGCATTCACAGCTTCTGGTGGCAGGTTGTTCCACTGGTTAATTGTTCTAACTGTAGAAAAATTAAATGGTCTTCCCAAAGGTACTTTTTCAAAAGACAACTGGACTTTGTTTTTCCTTGAAGACATTTTGCTTCTCAACCAAAGAAGCTTCTTCAAGTCTAACTGAACAGTGGAGGATGGAAGGATTTATATTCCTTGCAATCGTCTGGTCGTTAGCGCTCTTTCTGAGAGTTGCTGAGGCCACTTGAAGGTTCATCTCTGCCCCCATGAGGGACATAAATCCTTCTATCCTCCACCGTTCAGTCAGAACTGAAGAAGCTTCTTTGGTTGAGAAGAGAATCCGTCTTCAAGAGGAAACAAAGTCTAGTTGCCTTTTGAAAGAGCACCTTTGGGACAGCCATGACCTGGATGACTGAGAATCTCCACACACAATTAAATGGTTTACAATTACGGCTGGCTCTTTTTGATTGGCCGAAACTGAGTCCAGGGCAAGGCAGAAAGAGAGATAGTTAAGGAGTAAGACTCCAACTGCTACGAATGATACTTCAGCTTCTAAGTCTCCTTTAACTTAGATTCTACCAAATAATTTTTTCCTCAGAGTAATGTGAAAGTCTGTGCCTGTGGCATTTCTGCTGGATGTGCATCTTATGAGGACGGACAGGCTCTTAATAGGCGGAAATTAGAGATTAGAAATGTATAGTTGTATATAGGTATATTATATGTAATTAATGTACAATATGCACTGAGATGGAAGTCAAAGATGATTTACCATGTTCAATGTTTTTAATCCTTTTTTTCTTTGAACTTAATAAAAATTTAAAAATTAAAAAAAAAATAGGCGGGAATCAGTAGTTGGGGCAAGAGCAAAAGGGATGTTTCCATCGCTTGATGGGATTGATGTTTTGTTCCCCTGCATTTTGGATGCCTCTCCAGTCTTACACCAGTCAAAGTTACAAATGGTGCCACCAGGGCTAGGCTTTGAAGGAGATGTCCACAGCTTCTGCTCAGCAAGGATCTTAAACATCAGGAAGCTGGTGGGCCACAGCTGGAAACATCGATGCATGACCAGCTAAGGAGGCAGTGGGATCAGTACAGTATATGTGGGCCTCTTTTGAAATAACTAAAACCATAGGTAGTTTCTCCGTCCTTCTAGCACAGATATGTCAAACACAAGGCCCAGGGGCCGGATGCGGCCTGTGAAGTGGTTTCATGTGGTCCATGAAGCCATTCTGGAAACAGTGAGGGAACGGCCCCCACTGCCTTAGCCCTGGCCCAGGCCAGCCGGGAGCCAATGTACAATTTTGTGGTGGCCATCTATGCTGAAACGCATTCAGTCTTAGCTCCACAAGGCCATCTAGAAACAGCGAGGAACCAGCCCCTGCCGTGTCGGCCCCGCCCCCTGGGTGCATGCTGGGGAGGTGTCACCCTTCGTGAGGAATGAAGAAATGGACCATGCCTTGGCGCTTGCCCCGGTCTCACCCCCTTCTGCCAGAGACCCTCAGATCTGTCCCACTCCTGCCCAGGCCCTCCCCGGGCACCCTTGATGCGAACGATGTAGAGCTGGCCATGCCCACCCAGTAGGCCACACCCACTCCATCCATGCCCCACCCAGTAGGCCGCACCCACCCTGGCCACAGCCCCCCAGCCCCCCTGAGGGCAACCGCAATGCTGATGCGGCCCTCAATAAAAATGAGTTTGACACCCCTGTTCTAGCACAGTTCTTCTCAACTCGGCTGGGGAATTCTGGGAGTTGAAATCCACCCATCTTAAAGTTGCCCAGGTTGAAAAAAACATTGTTCTGGCACTACTTAACAGCATCACTCAGGAGAGGGAAAGCTTATCTTCTCTTCTTTATCCTCTGTAGGTTCTCAAGCAGTTTCATGTTTTGGCTGTCCAGAACACCACCTGTCAAACTCTTGGGCTAGAAGTGACCGTGAGCGGCTCTGTTCGCCGAAATTGTACGTCAGGGATTGGGGACTGTGGGCTTTTTTGATAATTGATTGGTGGGGGTTTTTAAGAAGAGATTGGACAGCCATTTGTCTGGAATGGTATAGGGCAGTGGTTCTCAACCTGTGGGTCGGGACCCCATTTGGGGGTCTCCAAACAACGCAGTCTGCCATTTTTTTTTCCCTTTTCCTTAACTGTGCTACTCCCTTTTATTCTATTGACTTTTGAAAGCCAATATAGAATAGACCAGGGGTAGGCAACCCAAAACACTCAAAGAGCCACTTGGACCCGTTTCCCACCAAAAACAAAACACTGGGAGCCGCAAAACCCTTTTGATATCTAAAATGAAGATAACACTGCATATATCCTTTTTTATCTTTATTATAGGTGTGTGTATGTGTGTGTGTGTATGTGTATGTGTGTGTATATATACACACACACACACACACACACACACACACACACACATATACACATTAAAAATAAAAGTAAAAATATGACTCTTGGGAATATCCATACTATTAAAACAATAATCACCAAGAGAATGCTTTAAGAGAATAAAATTACATACACACAAAGGTAAAAAAAAGGATATATGCAGTGTTATCTTCATTTTAGATGTCAAAAGGGTCTCTCTCTCTCCCTCCCTCTCTATCTGCCCTTGATCTGCCACTCCTCTTCCCCCACTCTTTCTCTCTCCCTCTCTCTCTCTTTCTCCCCCCCCTCCTATCTGCTGCTCACCTGGCAAGCTTCAAGCTGTTGTCCAACAACCTCCAGGGTAGGCAACCTGTCTCTTTTATGACTCATGGACTTCAACTCCCAGAATTCCTGAGTCAGCCTAGCTGGGCTAGCTAGCTCTCTCCTGCCCTTCCTGCTTCCTGCTTCCTTCAGAGACGCAGCAAAGGGAGGAGCTCCGCCCAGTAAGCTTTTCAGCTGCTCAGAGAACACTGTGAGTGCACTCTCTTTTACACACACACACACACACACACACACACAAACACACAGAGAGAGAGAGAAAGAGAGAGAAGCAGGGAAGTGCAATTGCCTCTCTCTGCAAAGGCAGAGGAGGCTGGGAGCCACAGGGAAAGGCTCAAAGAGCCGCATGCGGCTCCGGAGCCGCAGGTTGCCGACCTGTGGAATAGACTTTCTTGAATAGAGTCTAATTCTATTGGCTTTCAAAAGCCAATAGGAATTGTCCAGGCTGTCTCTGCCCTGCTGAGCCCGCCAAAAGTCCCATTCTGCAAACCGTGCTGCACCAGTTGAGTAGTCCTCGACTTACGACCGGTTGAGTAGTCCTCGACTTATGACTGGTTGGGGGTCGCGGCATTAAAAAGGTTGAGAACCACTGGTATAGGGTCTCCTGCTTGTGCTGGGGGTTGGAGGAGAGAACCTACAAAGTCCCTTAAACCTCCAGGGATGGAGCAACCACAACTTCTGAAGGCAAGCTGTTCTAATAATTAATTGTTCTAACTGTCAGGAAGTTTCTCCTTAGTTCTAGGTTGCTTCTCTCCCTGATTAGTTTCCATCCACTGCTTCTTGTCCTGCCTTCAGGGGCTTTGGAAAATAGGTTGACCCCCTCTTTTCTATGGCAGCCCTTTAGATATCGGAACACTGCTATCATGTTCCCCCCCCCCTCGTCCTTCTCTTCATTAAACTAGACGGATCCAGTTCCTGCAGCTGTTCTTTATATTTGGTGTGCCCCTGCGAAAGCCAATATGTTCCATACTTCCCGATGCCAATGGTCTGTGCTCGGTGTAAAAGCCTTGTTAACATTTGCCTCTGTTTTCTTACCACAGCTGAAGTGGATGATTACTATTATGAAGATGAAGATGATCTTCTGCCCACATCACAACCCGCTAACCAGCCATTGTCACGGATTGAATTATTTGACGCCCGGCAGCGCCGAAAGAGGGAGACCAAAAGCACCGAAGAGTCAAAACATGATGTCACCTACGAGGTCTGCTTCTGGTAAGTTGTTGTTGTTGTTAGAATTGTTAAGAGTGGGCTTGCAATAAGCGATGGGCTATTTGACAGGTTTATTTTAATAATAATAATAATAATAATAATAATAATAATAATAATAATAATAATAATAATAATAATAGTAAAGTTGGAAGGTACCTTGGAGGTCATCTAGTCCAACCCCCTGCTCAGGCAGGAAACTCTATACCACTTTGGACAAATGGATGTCCAGTCTCTTCTTAAAAACTTCCAGTGTTGGAGCATTCACAGCTTCTGGAATCCGGCTTCCCCACTGACTTTGCTTCTCAGAAGGTTAATAATAATAATAATGATAATGTTGGAAGGGACCCTGGAGGTCATCTAGTCCAACCCCCTGCTCAGGCAGGAAACCCTATACCATTTCAGACAAATGGCTGTCCAGTCTCTTCTTAAAAACTTCCAGTCTTGGAGCATTCACCACTTCTGGAGGCAGGTTGTTCCACTGGCTGATTGTTCTAACTGTCAGGAAGTTTCTCCTTAGTTCTAGGTTGCTTCTCTCCTTGATTACTTTCTATCCGTTGCTTCTTATCCTGCCTTCCGGTGCTTTGAAAAATGTTTGATTTTTATTTATTTGCTTGTTTATTATTTATTCTGAGAGGTTTATTTATTTACTTGTTTCTTTCCCACTTTTGTTATTTTTTTACAAATAGAGGTGGTCCTTGACTTACAACAGTTCATTTAGCGACCATTGAAAATGACAACATCCCTGAAAAAAATAATGACTGTTTTTCACGCTTACAACCATTGTAGCGTCCCCGTGACCATGTGATCAAAAATTCAGATACTGGCCCCTGACTCATATTTATGACGTTTATGACATGCAGTATCATATCATAATGATACTGGGGGGGGGGAAATCACGTGATCCTCTTTTGCGACCTTCTGACAAGCAAAGTCAATGGGGGAAGTCAGATTCACTTTGCAACCAAGTGATTAACTTAACAACAGCAGCGATTCACTTAATATCCTGTAGCAAGAAAGCTCGTAACATGGGGCAAAACTCCCTTAACAAATGTCTCACTTAGCGACAGAAATGTTGGGCTCAATTTTGGTTGTAAGTCAAGGACTACCTGTATTTGTAATATCTGGGCCTCCTAGACGGCTGTGTAAATGTTTTAAGTAAATACATTTAAATAAAATAGAAATTTTAACTAGAAAGTAAGGCCCTACATTTAGGCAAGAAAAACCAAATGCACAGGTACAGTATGGGTGGTACCCGGTTCAGTAGTAGCAACTGTGAGATGGATCTTGGAGTCCTAGTGGACAATCACTTAAATGCAAGCCAGCCGTGTGCTGCAGCTGCCAAAAAAACCAACGCAAGGAGAGAAGCAACCTAGAACTAAGGAGAAACTTCCTGACAGTTAGAACAATTAATCAGTGGAACAACCTGCCTCCAGAAGCGGTGAAAGCTCCAACACTGGAAGTTTTCAAGAAGAGATTGGGACAATCATTTGTCTGAAATGGTATAGGGCAGGGGTCTCCAAACTTGGCAACTTTAAGACTTATGGACTTCAACTCCCAGATAATTCTGGGAGTTGAAATCCATAAGTCTTAAAAGTTGCCAAGTTTGAAGACCACTATGGTATAGGGCAGTGATGACGACCTTTTAGAGACTGAGTGCCCAAACTGCAACTCAAAACCCACTTATACATCGTCGAGTGCCGGGTGGGTGTGGCCCATTGGCTAGGCATGGCCCATTGGGTGGGCGTGGCTGCGGTAGTAACAGCAGACTGGGTGGGATTAAAAAGTTCAATTAATCAATTCCAACTTTGCAAGATCTTTTTTTTTTCCCACGAGAAGTTGAAATTGACTGATTAAACCTTTTTTTTTTTTTTTGCACACGGCGGCGGAGGCCTAAAGCGAAAAGGTTTTATAAAACCCAGCTGAAGGCCTAGGACTGGGGCAACGGTGCACGTGCCCACAGAGAGGGCTCTGAGTGCTGCCTCTGGCACTTGTGCCATAGGTTCACCACTACTGGCATAGGGTTTCCTGCCTGAGCAGGGGGTTGGATTAGAACAGGGCTTTTCAACCAGTGAAATTATATTATATGATTATTATTATAAATAATAATTATATTATTATTATATAATAATAATAATATCATTACAATGACTTAGATGTCCTTCCTGTGGTTGAGCAGGAAGATACTGCAACTTAAAAAAAACAAAAGAAAACAGGATCATTCCAGCAACAATGGTACTCTAAATCAGGGCTTTTCAAGCAGTGGTACGGGTAACACCTGTGGTACATTGGCACCTGGCAGGTGGTACGCGGCCATCCTAGAAAAGTGGTGGGGGAGGGAAATGAACTGAACCAGTGGCAGCACTGGACAAGCCTGAGCAAGAGATGGCTGTAGCTGCAAGGCTGTCAGGGCTCAGTGGAAGGACCAGGATTAGTGCCGCTTTCCAGCTGATCGGCGCTTCTTCAGGGCTGTCAGTGGAAGCTCCAAGATCAGCACCAGGCTCCAGCTGGAAAGCAGCACTGATCCTGGTACTTCTGGTGAGCCCGGAAGAAGCGCCGATCAGCTGGAATGTTGCAGCATCTCCAGGGTCTTGTGATTTACATTCAGATGCTTGGCAACTGATTCATATTTATGACGGTCACAGTGTCCCAGGGTCATGTGAAGTGACCAAAACCTGCTGCAACCACCCAGCAGATGGGGGGGGGAATAAAAACCAAACACCCCCCACCCCACCCCCGCTGCCAATCCCCAACAGAAATGCTCACAACAATGAAAACCTCGGACAGGAGGAAGAGTGCTGCCGGGTGGGCAGGCAGGTGTCTTGCTCGGCTGTGGCTTGAGGGGCACTTTTTTCAGTGCCCTTGTAACTTCCAACAGTCACTAAGCAAACTGTTGTAAGTCAAGGACTACCTGTTACTTTATCACTTTTTTCTCTCTTTTTTTTTTTGGTCATCAAGTTTTTGACACCTTGCTAGGCGACTGGTGGTACTCGGATGTTGCCATATCCTAAAAGTGGTACAATGGGTGAAAAGGTTGAAAAGCCCTGGGCTAGATGACCTCCAAGGTCCCATCCAACTCTGTTATTCTGTAAATAAATGCAGCCCCCTCCCTTTTCTGGGAATCCAACCTAGTACACTCTGCCACATGGCCACAGGCTACTTTTATGTGAACTAGAGAGGAGTTTCTCCGAGACATTTTTCTCAAGTTACTTTCTTGGCTGTGCTCAGGTCCCTCTTATCTGACTGTGTCTTGGTGGTGGCTCTTCCTCCTGCCCTTCCAGGCCATTCCTTCTTCCATCTATCACAGGGGTCTCCAACCCCCAGTCTGTGGACCAATCCTGGGCCGTGGCATGCCAGCAACCCGTCCACACAAACAAGCAAAGACCCATTCACAGGATGCAGGCAGCACACAAAACCACACACTTTCCGGTCCACGGAGAAACTTCTCTCCACGGAACCGGTCCCTGGTGCCCAAAAGGTTGGGGACCTCTGCTCTACCATATCTAACCCTGCCTAGGATGGGGGGGGGCAATTATGATGCTTTGTACAGGTAGTCCTTGATTTACAACCATTCATTTAACGACCGTTCAGAGTTAGAGTGGCCCTGAAAAGAGTGACGAATGACCAGTTGTCACACTAAAAGGACCATTGCATCACCCCACGGTCATGTGATCAGAATCTGGGTGCTCGGCAAATTGGCGCGTATTTATGATGGTGGCAGCATAAGCGATCACCATTTGTAACCTTCCCAGCCGGCTTCTGATAAGCAAAGTCAACGTGGGAAGCCCGATTCGTTTAACAACCTCATGGGTCGCTTTGCAGCTGCAGTGATTCGCTGAACAGCGGTGGCCCCAGGTCGTAAGATGGGGCACAGCCAGTGGTGGAATTCAAATACCTGAACAACCAGTTCTCTTATTTCAGTGGTTCTCAACCTTTTTAATGCCGCGACCCCCAACCGGTCGTAAGTCGAGGACTACTCAACCGGTCGTAAGTTGAGGACTACTCAACTGGTGCAGCACCGTTTGCAGAATGGGACTTTTGGCGGGCTCAGCAGGGCAGAGACAGCCCGGACAATTCCTATTGGCTTTTGAAAGCCAATAGAATTAGACTCTATTCAAGAGAGTCTATTCTATTGGCTTTCAAAAGCCAATAGAATAAAAGGGAGGAGCACAGCTAAGGAAAAGGGGAAAAAAATGGCAGACTGCGTTGTTTGGCAACCCCCGTGAAACAGTCGTTAGATCCCAAATGGGGTCCCGACCCACAGGTTGAGAACCACTATCTTATTTGATGCAGGCCTGGGCCTCTTCTCCAGGCCTCCAAGGCCTAGACTGGACTTCTGGAAGCCAGCCAGTTCTCCAAATGCAGCAAAATTTAGCTACTGGTTCTGCCGAACCAGCGCAAACCAGCTGAATCCCACCACCGGGCACAGCACACTTAATATTTGTCTTGCTTAAGAGTGGGCATGTTGGGCTCAGTCGTGGTTGTAACTCAAGGACTACCCGTAGCAACATTTATGTGGTCCAGTTCATCCAACTGTCATTGTCTGATGTTTCTATTAAATCGCCCAGGTCAAACAAAAGACATTAAACAATCTCTCCCACCTCCCAACCTTTTTCTACAGGAGACAACGGGGGGCTCATGTTTCTGGCATGGTCATCGTTGACATCAGCCTGTTGAGTGGCTTTCAGCCTGATGAGATGGACCTTGCTCAGGTAGATCTTGGCAAAGTACTGTATTTCCCTTTAATATAGGAAAAGTGTGGTTACTCAGACCTACCTCCACGCAGAAACTCTTGGATCTGGATATCCCTCAACTTGTCCACATTTAGTTGGGCGAAGTAGAGACTGGAGGCTAAAACACTGAGAATGCAGGACTTCTCCATGTCTTACTGTTTTCTAGCCACTTTTGAGCTTGGCGGAAAATCCGACTTGTAGACTTCAACTCCCAGAATTCCTCAGCCAGCTCTGCGGGGCTACGGTTCCTGCCGATCTCCATCAAGTTCATCTTCCTTCTTCCCTACAGTTTGGGAGATCTGCTTACTTGTCGTATTTCTTACGACTGTTCTGTCCCTCCTTTCTCCGCAGCTGCAAGAGGTCCCCGACCAATACATCAACCACTGGGAGATTCAAGGACAACAGCTGCTCCTGTATTTTGACCAGGTGACAAAATAATCCATTCAGAGGGGCTGTTGGAGAAGGCACAGTTTTACTGAGATGTTCAGATGGGGTCCTTGGTGGCTTCAGAGCTGAGTTTGTTTGAAGAAGTTCCATTATCCAACTGACTAACATCACCAATTGGGCAACGGCTGCAAGCAAACAGCCAGGCTGAGAGGGCCCCAAGGATTCCACAGATCAGCCCTGATCTTTATGCCCTACGCCAGTGATGGTGAACCTTTTAGAGACCAAGTGTCCAAAAACCTCCCCCCCCCCGTCCCCATTCCACCTACTGCCCTGCCTGCTCCGCCCCTGCCCGCCCCTTGCCCCGCCCGCCCAGCCATGCACCGCCTCCATGGCCTGCCGCAGATCACCCAGGCAGCCCTGTAGAGCCATGACAGCCACGCCCTCCGCCCACACCCCGCAGCATCATCTGCACGCTATGGGGCATGAGGGCGGAGTCTTGTCTCTGCTGCCCAGCTATGTCCTTAGCTGCGCTGCTCCGTGCAGGCTGCGCCTCGGGGCGACTCTCCTCCAGGGGGGCTGCTGGTGAGGAGGGGGTGCGGGGGGAGGTGGGGCTGGGGCAATGGCACACGTGCCCACAGAGAGGGCTCTGAGTGCCGTCTCTGGCACGCATGCCATAGGTTCGCCACCATTGCCCTACGCTCTCATCTACTAAAGCCAGATGTACTTCTCCATGCCTGTGTGGGAAGAGAAAGCACACAGGCAGTCCTCAATTTACGATCATTTATTTAACAACTGTTCAGAGTTACGACGATGTTGAAAAAAAGTGACTTAGGACCGGTCCTCACACTTAATGACCATTGCAGCATCTCTGCAGTCCCATGATTGAAATTCCGGCGCTTAGCAGCCATCATGTATTTACGATGATTGCCGCATCCATGATCCGTGACATTGTGACATTCTGGCAAGGGGTGTGGAGGGGGAGGACACGTGTGGTTATAACTTGAGGACTACCTGCAAGCCACTGATATCTGCCTTTTTTAGACAACGCAGTTCCTTCCAAAGGCTGGAGTCTTAATTTTGATCATCCCTGTTACTTTCTTTTTGAAGCTCATCTTGGTTCACTGCCCTTCATCATTGTTTGTAAAAGAGCTAAATTGATGCCCAGCTTCATTTGCCTCCTCCAAACAGCAACCCACCCACCCAACCCCTAAGTTGGACTATACACCCATCATCCTTAACCAGCACCCTTCTTGTTTATGTTTTCTGTGAATGACTGGAACTATAGCCAACACATCCAGAGGTCAGCAAGTGGGGGTGAGGGAGGGAGCTGAACTGAACTGAACTACAGATAGTCGGAGGGAGCTGAACTGAACTGAACTACAGATAGTCCTTGACGTATGACCACAATTGAGCCCCAAATTTTTATGTTGCTAAGTGAAACATTTGTTAAGTGAATTTTGCTTAACTTTACAACTTTTCTTGCCACAGTTGTTAAATGAATCTCCACAGTTGTTAAGCTGGTAATACAGTTGATCAGTGAATCTGGTCTTCCCATCAACTTTGCTTGTCAGAAGTGGCGCAAAGGGGGAATCACATGACCCCAGGGACATGCGAACATCACAAATATAAGTCAGTTGTCAAGCATCCAAATTTTGATCATGTGACCATGGGGATTCTGCAGTGGTTGTGTGAAAAACAGTCGTAAGTCCCTTTTTTTTCCAGTTCCGTTGTGACTTTGAACAGTCAACAAATGAATTGTTGTAAGTCAAGGACTTTCTGTATTTGCAAAAATAATAAAAGCGGAATATAAACCAAGAAACAAACCAACCTGTAAGTTGATTGTCCAATTTGCTCCCGAATGGAGGATTGTACCCTAGATCACAGAAGAAATGTAGAATATAGGCTTTTAAGTTTAAATATTTCTTTATGTTTCCAGGCCCCAGAATCCGGTCGTGAGTGTGTCGCTTTCAGGGCCAAACAGGTGGTTTCTGTGGGAAAACTGCAACCAGCCAGTGCTACCGTCTACGACTTCTACGAACCCAGTAAGTCAAAGCAAACAACAGTTGTGAGGGGAGCTGGTAGGATGCATTTTTTAAAAAAAAAATCAGTCTTTGACGGGCACAAATGACGTGTCAGATGTGCTATGATATCTCCAGAACAGGCATGACTGAATGTTTGTAAAGACTGTTTCAAAAGAGAAGGCTAATTTTGTAGCGTGGGCAGTCCTCGACTTAACAACCGCAATTGGGAGCAGAACCTCTGTCATAAATCGTTGCAGTTGTCAGTCAAGTCTGACCTGATTTTACAACCATTTTTACCACAGTTGTTAAATGAATCGCTGTGGTCCTTAAGCACATCGCACAGTCCATTAGTCTAATATTGGCTTATTTCAGCGAGTATGGCCTCCCGTCTCAAAAGCACAAGTCGTAGTGTCTAACCACAGTTAAAAAAATGCCATCAACAACAACATAGTACTGTATGTGGAAAATCAGAAGCCAAGATAAAAGCAAACAAACACCCCTAAAATCTTCATCAATATCACTGTTTCACAGACTCTGGCCTGCAGTCTGACCCTGCCACACACGTACACCTGGCAACACAGCCATGTCTTTAAGGCAGTGGTTCTCAACCTGTGGGTCGGGACCCCATTTGGGGTCGAATGACCATTTCACGGGGGTCGCCAACCAATGCAGTCCGCCATTTTTTCCCCCTTTTCCTTAGCTGTGCTACTCCCTTTTATTCTATTGGCTTTTGAAAGCCAATCGAATAGACTCTCTTGAATAGAGTCTAATTCTATTGGCTTTCAAAAGCCAATAGGAATTGTCCAGGCTGTCTCTGCCCTGCTGAGCCCACCAAAAGTCCCATTCTGCAAACGGTGCTGCACCAGTTGAGTAGTCCTCGACTTACAACTGGTTGGGGGTCGCGGCATTAAAAAGGTTGAGAACTACTGCTTTAAGGCCTTAGGACAGAGGTCTCCAACCTGTGGGCTGCAGCCCACTACCGGGCTGTGGCCTCCTGGCCACTGGGCCGTGGAATAGGCTGGCCAATGCGCGCACATGTGTGCGTGCACTCCTCCCCACTCATGCTAACGCCACCGCCACTATGCCATGCGGCAAAAACAGGGCTCTGCATGGTGAAAACGGGCAGTGCTAGCAACCGTGTGGCAAAAACGGGGCAGTGCTAGCGACTGACACGCAGACACTAGCACCACCCCCTTTGCATTTTGCATGCTCACGGCCCCATTTGTGTCCGCACGCATGCATAAAATGCTTCCCCATCCCTTTCCCTCCGGTCTGCCAATCTAGAAAGGTTGAAGACCTCTGCCTTAGGAAATGTCAACAGGGTTGAGGCTAGTTTGATCTCTGGGAGTGGGGAGATGTTGCAAAGAGCAAGTTCCCAAAGAGAGAAAACTTTCTTTTTGGGTCCCACCAGACAGTAGTCTCCGATGGACGGGACCCAGAACACACCTCTCCTACTGGGTCTGATGGGATGTTTAGGCACAGTTAGGGAGAGGCAGTTTATCAAATAAGCTTAGCTCCTCATATTAACCCAGCTGCTGCTTTTCTCTTTAGTTTCTGACTGTTCTATCTCCCCTTGCAGGTCAACGTTGTAGCATCTTCTACGGGGCTCCAAATAAGCCACAGTATGTCTCCGCGTTGTGCTCAGATGATGTCTGCCAGTGTGCTGAAGGTAAAGTTACCCGGACATGACAGTGGGTTTTAAGGGCTCTGAATTAAGGCCTTCAGTTAAGGCCTGAGGCACCATGGACTGCCTTCTTCCTTCCACATCACAAGTAGAGCCCGGGTTTACTTCTGCAAGGTCAGCCAGAAAGGTGGATTCTCGCGGATCGTTTAAGGTGAATGCAGCTGATCTGCTCTCACTTGAAACCACCAGGCAGTTGGACAAAGGATTGTCTGAATAGCTTCTCTTTGCAATCAGGAATACGGTCTTGAGCATGCCTGGCTGAGGAATTCTGGGAGTTGAAGTCCACAAGTCATAAAAGGGCCAAGTTTGAAGACCCCTGTTCTTGAGGATGATTTTCAGGAATGCAACTGAGGAAGGAGGAATCAAAATAATATGGAGCCTTTCTAGTAATTGCCAAACCCTACAGTGAGGCTGTTCTTCTTATGATACAGTCCTCTAACACCGTGGCTGAATATTAAAAGATTAGGACTTAATCATACACACAGACACACAGAGAGACAACACACACATTGATGATGATGCTCTGTGCAAGATCTGGTAAATGCCTGTATCACAACTGCCCTCCCGGTATTAAAATATCCATAGCCACTGTGTTTGCTCACTGTAACCACACTTAATTGTTAGTATAAAATTTCTGATGGTTGATGCCAAAAGAACTACTATTTTTGGAAAGGCTCTTTGAGAACGTGAGGCCACTGCAAAAGCCTTCTTGTTTTGTCCACTTTCTCCAGTTTTTAATCATTAAAACAACTAGCTAAACTCCCACGTGAAATTAGATTTCTCTCTCAGCCACGCAGGAGTTAAACGCTAGATCTCCCCTTTCATTATGTTGAGACTCTAGAAAGAGTACAGAGAAGAGCAACAAAGATGATCAGGGGACTGGAGGCTAAAGCATATAAGGAACGGCTGCTGGAATTGGGCATGTCTAGTTTAATGAACAGAAGGATGAGGGGGGGACATGATAGCAGTGTTTCAATATCTCAGGGGCTGCCACAAAAAAGAGTGAGTCGAGCTATTCTCCAATGCTCCAGAGGGCAGGACAAGAAGCAATGGATGGAAACTTGTCAAGGAGAGAAGCAACCTAGAACTGAGGAGAAACTTCCTGACAGTTAGAACAATTAATCAGTGGAACAACCTGCCTCCAGAAGCGGTGAATGCTCCAATACTGGAAGGTTTTAAGAAGAGACTGGACAGCCATTTGTCTGAAATGGTATAGGGCAGTGGTGGCAAACCTATGGCACTGGTGCCAGAGGCGGCACTCAGAGCCCTCTCTGTGGGCACACGTGCCGTCGCTCCACTCCTAGGCCTTCAGCTGGGTTTTATAAAACCTTTTCGCTTTAGGCCTCCGCTGCCATGTGCAAAAAAAAAAAAAAAAGAGGTTCAATCAGTCAATTTCAATTTCTCGCGGGGGAAAAAAAAGATCTTGCAAAGTTGGAATTGATTGATTGAACTTTTTAGTCCCATCCAGTCTGCCGCAGCCACGCCCACCCAATGGGCCACGCCCACCCAGCACCCGACGATGCATAAGTGGGTTTTGGGTTGCAGTTTGGGCACTCGGTCTCTAAAAGGTTCGCCATCACTTGTATAGGGTTTCCTGCCTGAGCAGGGGGTTGGACTAGATGACCTCCAAGGTACCTTCCAACTTTATTATTATTATTACTATTATTATTATTATTATTATTATCATCATCATCATCATCATCATCAAGGTGGTATCCAGGAATTGAACTGTATTTCTCCCTTCTGCCAAACAGGTGCCTGCCCACGTCTGAAGCGTAGCCTGGAGGATGCAATCACAGAAGAGAACCGGATGAACTTCGCCTGTTACAGTCCCCGTGTGCAATATGGTAAGAGATGGACTGGAGATCCTCACTCTCTGCAGCCTGGATACCTTGAGCTGATTTCAATTTTCTCCCCTGAAAATTTGCAAACGTTGCTTATTCTCACACTCCTGGAGACCTGTACCTCACAATTCAGGTCCTCGGGCCTTTTCCTTTCCTTCACCTGGGCCTCTTTTCATTTCTGCGAACATTTTGGTCAACGTTGGCATGAGGGGAGGCGCCTGGTGATCAAACTGAGAGTTGCAGTTTTGCAAAATCTCCCTCCCTCCCCTATTGTGTCCATGGAGGAGAACTTTTGAAATTAAAAAAGCTGTGAAAGTAAAGGAAATTGACAAAGAGAATTTTAATGCCTAGACTTGGAAAAGAAGGAGAAGGGGAAGCAGTAACTTAGGTGGCAGAGGAGGAGGTGGAGCGAGGTAGGGATATAATTTCAGATGGCATATAAATTTGAAGGAGGAGAAAGTGGCCTGCGTTTGTCCTTCCACAGTATTATTATTGGGCCACTTGATCAATTAACAGTAATAACAAAAAGCAGTAGAAACGCCAATAGAAGCTGTGTACTTAGCGCCATACCAAAAATTGTGGAAAAGCTCTTGGACACTATAGGAATAGATAAAATCTCATCAATTATATATATAAAAAAAATTCCATTACTTGGAACAGTGCTATATTCTGACATTACCTTTACCCAAGATTCTGGGAATTCTGGGAGTTGAAGTCCACCCATCTTCAAGTGGCGAAGGTTGAGAAACACTGATCCACGGAATGCCTTCGGCTGACTGGCACTTTCCATCAAGCTTTTCAGACCTCATAAACCCAGGCTGAGCGCTCTTTTAGAAGAACACACTGCTGTTTTTTAAACATGGTTTAGTTCTGTCTTGAAAGAGCATAGCTCTGTGTTGCACAGAATGTCCATTTAAGGAAGAGCCCTGTTCATCTATGTTTATTTTATTAGTTGTGTCTCCATTGGGTGCTAGATAGATTTTCTACTGGTAATCTATTTCACCCTCTTTTATATTTTACTGTTTACTGTTTCTTATTTCTACACTGAGAGCTTATGCACTGGAGACTAATTCCTCGTATGTCTAATCACACTTGGCCAATAAAGAATTCTGTTCTGTTCTGTGTTCCATTCTGTTCTGTTCCATTCCGTTCTGTTCTATATTCCATTCCGTTCCATTCCATGCCATTCCACTCCATTCCATTCCATTCCACTCCACTCCACTCCACTCTCCACTCCACCCCACATACCACTCCATTCCATTCCACTCCACTCCACTCCACATACCACTCCACTCCACTCCATTCTATTATATTCTATTCTTTGCTCTTCTGTTCTATTCTATTCTTGTACACAGCAGTATAATGCTTCCCTTAACTGGTTATTGTTCCTGGGATCAGTTTAGAGCATCAACAGCTCTTCTGGCTTTTTGCACAGTATGCCACAGTTACTTATGCGCATCGGTGGTAGACCAGCACTATTTCCTATTCCTTTCCGGCTTTGATAACTGTTGTTAGTACAGCCCAATCACAATTCCTCCATGGCTATCCCTGACTACTTTGGGTTCTGCCAGCCACAAGGTCAGAACTGGGCTCCTTGGTCTCTCTCTGCCAGCACTGACCGTCCCCTGCGCCATTGTGCAATGTTGAAGCCCACTGATTATCAATCCCTTCCTCCTGCTTTACCCCCAGCTCCCTTCCACTCCTCCTGTCAGCTAGGATATTTTGAATGCAGATTTAGTGCACTCTCAGAAGAGCCCCTGCTCAGAAATAGCCTCTAAGAGTTCGTAGGTGGGGTTGACTGGTTTTTACCAAGAATGAGATCTTGTAGCACTTATCATCTATTAGCTGGGAAATTGGGCAGGTGGCCCGACCTATTCTTCTAAGATTCCATCCAAATTTGACCCGTCCCCTCCAAATTAAAGGAAGTGGTTAGTGGTGTTTTTTTTTCCTCCCTGCTGGTCAGGGATGTTTAAGTGGGAGAGAAAACAAAGCCAGGGGAATCCGCCACTCCCTTTGGTTAACTTGACCTCAAATGAATAAGTCAGCACTGCTTGCTGGACTCATTACTTTTTAGCTGAACAAGGATTGGCACTGAAGGCGACACTGTGCATGCCAAGTATTTTCCTGCTACCTCAGGGATCAGTGGAGAAACATCCCTAATTCTGGTCATTAATAGGGCAAAAGATGAGAGCTTTGGTCTCCTCTTTGTAGCGTTCCTGGTTCGAGTGGAGCGGGAGAGCCAAGAAAGTGCCTTCCGGATCTATGAAGTTAAAATCAAGGAGCCCCTTCAATTCAGTAAGTAGCCTTCCTTTCACAGGGTTTTTGTTGCATCAATTTTGCTACCATAGGAGATGATCGGACTGAGCCTGAGGGAGGAATCAAATGCGTCATCAGTCTCCAGTCCCCTTGCACTCACAAGAGATCTAGGTCCAGTCCACCTTGAATTCCTTTGACTCTTATCTACCGCCAGTTTGTTTTGACCATCAGTAATTCAGCTTCTTGTGGAGAACTTTAGCATATAATGAACCTATATATTCATCTGAATGGCCTGGACCCCGATTACCCTTACTTGACAACTACCTATTGTATTATGTCTGTATGTATTAGAAGAGAAGAAAAGAGAAGAGAAAAGAAAATAGAACAAAAATAGAATAAAATAGAATATAGAATAAAACAGGAATAGAGAATAGAATAGAATAGAATAGAATAGAATAGAATAGAATAGAATAGAATAGAATAGAATAGAATAGAAAATAGAATAGAATAGGAATAGAATAGAATAGAATAGAATAGAACAGGAATAGAGAATAGAATAGAATAGAATAGAATAGAATAGAATAGAATAGAAAATAGAATAGAATAGAATAGAATAGGAATAGAATAGAATAGAATAGAATAGAATAGAACAGGAATAGAGAATAGAATAGAATAGAATAGAATAGAATAGAATAGAATAGAATAGAATAGAATAGAATAGAATAGAATAGGAATAGAATAGGACAGGAATAGAGAATAAAATAAAACAGGAATAGAGAATAGAATAAAACAGGAATATAGAATAGAATAGAATAGAATAGAATAGAATAGAATAGAATAGAATAGAATAAAACAGGAATAGAGAATAGAATAGGAATAGGAATAGAATAGAATAGAATAGAATAGAATAGAATAGAATAGAATAGAATAGAATAGAATAGAATAGAATAGAATAGGAATAGAATAGGACAGGAATAGAGAATAAAATAAAACAGGAATAGAGAATAGAATAAAACAGGAATATAGAATAGAATAGAATAGAATAGAATAGAATAGAATAGAATAGAATAGAATAAAACAGGAATAGAGAATAGAATAGGAATAGGAATAGAATAGAATAGAATAGAATAGAATAGAATAGAACAGAATAGAACAGGAATAGAGAATAAAATAAAACAGGAATAGAGAATAGAATAGAATAGAATAGAATAGAATAGAATAAAACAGGAATAGAGAATAGAATAGAATAGGAATAGAATAGAACAGAATAGGACAGGAATAGAGAATAAAATAAAACAGGAATAGAGAATAGAATAAAACAGGAATATAGAATAGAATAGAATAGAATAGAATAGAATAGAATAGAATAAAACAGGAATAGAGAATAGAATAGAATAGGAATAGAATAGAATAGAATAGAATAGAATAGAATAGAATAGAATAGAATAGAATAGAATAGAATAGAAAATAGAATAAAACAGGAATAGAGAATAGAATAGAATGGAATATAGAATAAAACAGGAATAGAGAATAGACTGGGAAATAGAATAAAACAGGAATAGAGAATAGAACACAATAGAATAGAATAGAATAGAACAAAACAGAACAGAACAGAACAGAATAGAATAGAATAGTGGGAAGGGACCTTGTAGGTCATCTAGTCCAACCCCCTGCCCAGGCAAGAGACCCTACCTACACCATTTCTGACAAATGGCAGTCCAAACTCTTCTTGAAAGCTTCCAGTGATGAAGCTCCCACAACTTCTGAAGGCAATCTGTTCCATTGGTTGCTCGTTCTCACTGTCAAATATTGACCAAGTTTCAGAAAGTTAAGGCTCAGATGCCACTAGGATTTCTAGCATACTTTGGTCAGCTGTGTTGCAACATGACCATGTGATGTTGTGACCATTGGGCTGTACAGCCAACGGTTTTTTAACTCAGGGGAAATGGCTGCAAACACAGTCTTGCCCCCAGAGCATTGAGGGAGATCAGTGGAAGGGCACCCTAGTGGGAAAACGATGAATCTACAGGTAATTTAATTTACAACAGTTTATTTAGTGACTGTTTAAAGTTATAATGGCACTAAAAAACAATGACTTATGACCGTTTTTCACATTTACAACTATTGCAGCCTCCCCACGGTCCTGTGATCTAAATTCAGACGCCTGGCAACCGACTCATCTTTATGACGGCTGCAGTGTCCCGGGGTCATGTGATCACCTCTCGTGACCTTCTGACAAAGTCAAGGGGGAAGCCAGATTCACTTAGCGACCGTGTTGCTAACTTAACAACTGCAGTGATTCACTTAACAATCGTGTCAAGAAACGTCATAAAATGGCGTAAAACTCATTTAACAACTGTTTCGCTTAGCAACAGAAATTTTGGGCTCAGCTGTGGTCCTAAGTCAAGGACTACTTGCAGACGCTAGGGCAGTTGAAAAGTGCACCGCCTTGTTTGATGCCTTCATATATTTTTTTCAGATTTTCAACCTTAGATTTTTTTTTTTTCTCTCTCTCTCTCTCTCTATAGCTGCAGACTCCAGAATTGAAGCCGGCCAGATCCGTCGCTTTGTGGTTCGGGCTGCTTGCAAGACCCGCCTGGCTGCAGGCAAAGAATATTTGTTGATGGGACACGACGGGGAAACGCGTGATTCAAATGAGCGGTAGGTTGGGAAACAAGACAGGAAAATTTGGCGTGTAGTGTGTCGGCAGACAGACAGGAAGACCAAATGCAGAAGTGTGCAGTTAGAGGTCCTTGACACTTATGAGCATGGAGAAGGGAGTTCAGTTAAGTATATAACAACAACAGCAACAAAGGAATTCACATCAAAGTTTGTTATGAAGTAATAGTTACAATCTAATATTAGAGAGAGAGAGAGAGAGAGAAATAATAAGAGAGAGATGGATGGTTGGATGGATCAGACATGTCAAACACAAGGCCCGGGGGCCAGATGCAGCCCGCGAAGTGATTTCATGTGGCCCGCGACTCCATCCCGGAAACAGTGAGGGAACGGCCCCTGCTGCCTTGGCCCTGGCCCAGGTCAGTCTGGAGCCAATGTACAATTTTGTGGTGGCCATTTATGCTGAAACGCATTCAGTCTTAGCTCCACAAGGCTGTCTAGAAACAATGAGGAACCAGCCCCTGCTGTGTTGGCCCCGCCTCCTGGGTGTATGCTGGGGAGGTGTCACCCTTTGTGAGGAATGAAGAAATGGACCATGCCTTGGCGCTTGCCCCGGTCCCACCCCCTTCTGCCAGAGACCCTCAGATCTGTCCCACTCCTGCCCAGGCCCCCACAGGCACCTTTGACCCGAACGATGTAGAACTGGCCATGCCCACCCAGTAGGTTGCACCCAACCTGGCCACACCCGCCCGGCCCCCTGAGGGCAACCGCAATGCTGATGTGGCCCTCAATGAAATTGAGTTTGACACCCCTGAGCTAGATGATGGATGGATGGATGGATGGATGGAGATTTAGGTAGATGGATAGATATAGATCAGTGGTTCTCAATCTTTTTAATGCCGCGACCCCCAACCGGTCGTAAGTCGAGGACTACTCAACCGGTCGTAAGTCGAGGACTACTCAACTGGTGCAGCACCATTTGCAGAATGGGACTTTTGGCGGGCTCAGCAGGGCAGAGCCAGCTTGGACAATTCCTATTGGCTTTTGAAAGCCAATAGAATTAGACTCTATTCAAGAGAGTCTATTCTATTGGCTTTCAAAAGCCAATAGAATAAAAAGGAGTAGCACGGCTAAGGAAAAGGGGGAAAAAATGGCGGACTGCGTTGTTTGGCGACCCCCGTGAAATGGTTGTTCGACCCCAAATGGGGTCCCGACCCACAGGTTGAGAACCACTGATATAGATGATAGGTAGGTAGGTAGGTAGGTAGGTAGGTGGATGGATGGATGGATGGATGGATGGATGGATGGATGGATGGATGGATGGATGGACGGACAGATGATGGATGGATGGATGGATGGATGGATGGATGGATGGATGGATGGATAAATAGATGAGAGACACAGAGAGAATGGAGGGATTTGAAGAAGACACGTTATGCAGTTCATCGGTGGACACAGAGGTGGCTCTGCCCAGAATTTAGCCTACGGGGGCACTGAAAATCCATTGTTGTAGTAACTGTGGGTGTTATTCTATGATGCCGCTCATGGTTGTTTATCAGTTTTAGTAGTGCCTGTTCCCAAAGCCTGCAGAGGCTTCATAGCATACAGCTCGCCAGCAGGTTCTGTCCCTTGGGTGGATGTCACGGGGTTTCTTTCACAGTGTCTTCCTAGCGCTTGTTGTGGTCCACCACACCGTCACTCCCCTAGATTCCAGAACACTGTAGAACAACGGTGGTCGTCCATTCTGATGACATGTCCCATCCATTTCATCTGGGTTCTGATAATCAGGGACTCAAATGCTGCCTCTCCGACCTTCAGGGACGGGGTGTCATGCCAGACTTGAACTCAGTGCTCTTTCTTTCTGCAGCCCCCAGTACCTGCTGGATAAGAATTCCTGGATAGAAGAGCAGCCAGATCCTCGGCGTTGTAAAGCCACCCAGTATCGCAACACCTGCCAGGAGCTTCAGTCTTTCACTACCTCCTTTGGTATAAACGGCTGCCGCATCTGAGCCAAATACCCCTTGCGCCTCTGACTACTCTGACTCACCAGGAACTGCACCTCTTTTATGGAATACCCCCTGGCTGAAAACCTCTTCTTGATTGCTGTGTTGTGAGTCACTTAAAGCTTTGTGATTAGAGGATCTGAAGACAAAAGAAGAGTCTGACAGCATCAGAGCAGAATAACAGAGTTGGGAGGGACCGTGGAGGTCTTCTAGTCCAACCCCCTGCTCAAGCAGGAGACCCTATAGTACCATGCCAGACAAATGGCTGTCCAATCTCTTTGTAAAAACCTCCAGTGTTGGAGCATTCACAACTTGTGCAGGCAAGTTGTTCCACTGATTAATTGTTCTGTCAGGAAATTTCTCTTTCGTTCTAGGTTGGTTTTCTCCTTGGTTAGTTTTCTTGTCTTGCTTTGGAGAATTGATTGATTCCCTCTTCTTTGTGGCAGCCCCTCAGATATTGGAACACTGCTATCATGGCACCCCTAATCCTTCTTTTCACTAAACTAGACATGCCCACTTCCTGCAACCGTTCTTTGTATGTTTTAGCCTCCAACCCCCTGATCATCTTTGTTGCTCATCTTTGCACTCCTCAACACCTTTTTTTATATTGTGGCAACCAAAACTGGATGCAGTATTCCAAATCTGGTCCAACCGAGACATTCGGTAAGGCAAACTGAAGTAATTTTTAACAGAAAACAGGCCAGAAATAAATTACCTCTAAGTTGGGATGTCTTGTAGAGTTTGGCTCAATGTGACAACCATTCCTTTGAAAGTGTTTCATTCTCTTCAAAATGGTTGTTACTACAGAATCATTTCTGTTCTGATGTGAGTGAATTTCAGGGTGTTTTTTTTTTCCCCTAGCCAAAGCCCTGTTTCACACCATTCGCTGCACTGATTATTTATAATCAGAAGTGCTTTCCATCAGAGAACGAATTCTTTTCTGAAGTCCACCTTTTCTTGGGGAAAAAAAATAACCAAAGCAAATGAGGGTCTCTGGTTGCTAAAAATGAGGATGCCTCCCCCCTTTACTTGTCCCCTAATTTTGGATTTCCCAGGGGCTTATCACTATGCATTCAACTTTCTCTTTGGCTGGACAGACGTTCAAATGTTTACCATCCAACAGTCTTTTTTGTCTGTTTCTGAAAAAACCTGAATTTTTGGTAAGTCCTAATCAAATTAAAAAAAAAACTTGTATACAAATTCCCAGGGTTTGCAATTTCACAAACTTAAAATTTTCAGTCCTCTCCCTGGGCGGCACCTATCTCTGAATAGTCTAACACACACACACAAACACCACAAAAAAAAAAACCAACCCTTGAGCTATCCTTTAAGTAATCTGCTTAGCCATGCTGGTTAGGACTTAGGAATTCATAATCCAATATATCTAGGTTACTTTTGACCCAATAGGTATGTCTGACAATGTTGGCACTGTTTTGCACTATTTTTTCATGCAATAAAATGGTTTACTTTCATTTTGTTTCCTCTTGCCATTTGTTAATTCTTGATTCTGCTAAGGACTCTGTTCTGATACTTCTGTAATGGCAGCTTTCTTGTATCCCAAGGCTGAAAAGGTAGAGATGGAAGGGAAATTGTGTCCAAGATGGTCTCCAGATTTGTGCTTCCTGAACTGATAGGCTAGCTCTACACAATTCCTAGTGGAAAAAGGGCAAGAGGAATAACTTAAAAAATTATAGGTCACAAAGGAATACAGGGAGTCCTTGACTTACGACCACCATTGAAACAAACATTTCTGTTGTTAAACAAGACAGTTGTTAAGTGACTTTTAGCAATAGCACTTATATACAGCTTCTCAGTGCTTTACAGTGCTTTTCTAGGCGGTTTACAGAGTCAGCATAATTTCCCCCAACAATCTGGGTCCTCATTTTACCAACCTGGGAAGGATGGAAGGCTGAGTCAACCTTGAGCCGATGAGAATCGAATTGTCAAACTACTGGCAGTCGGCAGAACTAGACTGCAATAATGCATTCTAACCACCATGGCAAACTTCACGGTAAAATGGAGTTTTGACCCGTTTTACAACTTTTCTTGCCAGAGTTGATAAATGAATCAGTGCAGTTAAGTTAGTAACACGGTTGTTTAATAAATCTGGCCTCCCCATTGACTTGACAGTCGCAACAGGTGATAATAACATGACCCTGGGACACTGCAAACGTCATCAATATGAGTCAGGTGCCAAGATTTCTGAATTCTGCTCACGTAACCGTGGGTATGCTGCAACTGTCATAAGTGTGAAAAGCTATTCTACAGAAACAGGAAAGCAGACTGAACAGAGTTAGAAGGGACCTTGTAGGTCTTCTAGTCCAGTGGTTCTCAACCTGTGGGTCGGGACCCCATTTGAGGTTGAACGACCATTTCACGGGGGTCGCCAAACAACGCAGTCCGCCATTTTTTCCCCCTTTTCCTTAGCTGTGCTACTCCCTTTTATTCTATTGGCTTTTGAAAGCCAATAGAATAGACTCTCTTGAATAGAGTCTAATAGGAATAGACTCTCTTGAATAGAGTCTAATAGGAATTGTCCAGGCTGTCTCTGCCCTGCTGAGCCCGCCAAAAGTCCCATTCTGCAAACGGTGCTGCAAGTTGTCTGCAGCGAAGGCAAGCTGTCTGGAAGTTTCCACCCCTCCCATGCGCGGTGCTCCTGGGCAGGGAAAGTCCTCGACTTCCAACCGGTTGGGTAGTCCTCGACTTACGACCAGTTGGGGTTGCGGCATTAAAAAGGTTGAGAACCACTGTTCTAGTCCAATCCCATGCTCAGGCAGGAAACCCTATATGTCAGTGATGGTGAACCTAGGGCACGCGTGCCAGAGGTGGCACTCAGAGCTGCCACCGCCAGCAGCTTGCGCAGGTCCATTAGGCCACTGCCGGCGCCTGGAGCGGCAGCCCCGCCCAGCACAAAGGAGGCAAAGCAGCTGGCTAGCAAGCTCGAGTAGAGGTGGTAGAGCATGCCCCCATGCGCTTACTGGCCTCTGTGTGCAGGGGCCGATGGTGTCAGGCAGCAGCCGCCCCACCTCACTTGCCCAGCAGCAATGGCACCTCCGCCCTACCCCCTGCAGGACGAGCCTCCTATCCACCACCCCACCCACCATAAACCCCCTGGATCTCCCCCAATCCTGCCCAGCCCCCACAGGCATCTCCCCCACGAGTGAAATCAAGGTGGCCACACCCACCCAGTCTGCCATGATCACTGCAGCCCATCCAGTGGGCCATGCTCCCCCCCCACCCCACAATGCTGATGCGGCCCTGACACTTTGCAATAAACAATTGGGTTTTGGGTTGCAGTTTGGGCCCTCAGTCTCTAAAACAGGGGTGTCAAACTCAATTTCACTGAGGGCCACATCAACATGACGGTTGCCCTCGGGGGCCAGGTGGGTGTGGCCAGAGTGGGTGCGGCCTACTGGGTAGGTGTGGATGGAGTGGATGTGGCCTACTGGGTGGGCATGGCTAGCTCTACATCGTTTGCGTCTGTGGGGGCCTGGGCAGGAGTGGGACAGATCTGAGGGTCTCTGGTAGAAGGGGGTGGGACTGAGGCAAGCGCCAAGGCATGGTCCATTTCTTCATTCCTCACAAAGGGTGACACCTCCCCAGCATGCTCCCACGGGGCAGGGCCGACATGGCAGGGTCTGTTTCCTAGCTGTTTCTAGACGGCCTTGTGGAGCTAAGACTGAATGTGTTTCGGCATAGATGGCCACCACAAAATTGTACATTGGCTCCCGGCTGGCCTGGACCAGGGCCAAGGCACTGGGGGGGGGGGCGTTCCCTCACTGTTTCCAGGATGGCTTCGCGGGCCACATGAAACCACGGGCCGCATCCGGCCCCCGGGCCTTGTGTTTGCCATATCTGTGCTAGAAGGACGGAGAAACTATCTATGGTTTTAGTTATTCCAAAAGAGGCCCACTTATACTGTACTGATCCCACTGCCTCCTTAGCTGGTCATGCATCGATGTTTCCAGCTGTGGCCCACCAGCTTCCTGATGTTTACGTTCCCTGCTGAGCAGGGCCAAGGCAGCGGGGGCCGTTCCCTCACTGTTTCCAGGATGGCTTCACGGGCCACATGAAACTACTTCGCGGGCCGCATCCGGCCCCCGGGCCTTGTGTTTGACATGTCTGCTCTAAAAGGTTCGCCATCACTGCTGTATGTCTTAAGTCACTTTTCTCAGTGCTGTTGTAAGTTTGGTCACTAAACAAATGGTTATAATTGGAGGACTATCTATAGCTGGTACACCAATCAGCTGTTCAGTGGCTTACCACATAAGGTGACAACAGAGCTAGCAGTGTCTCTCATGTCTGGAGGTACTTGGTACCATGTATTCTAGAATGGAAGAAGTTGCAAAAATCTAGACCAGTGGTTCTCAACCTGTGGGTCGGGACGACCATTTCACGGGGGTCACCAAACAAGGCTGTCTGCCATTTCCCCCCCCTTTTCTTTGGCCACGCCCCTGGCACCCGGTGATGTATAAGTGGTTGGGGGTCACCACAACATGGGGAACTGTATTATGGGTCGCGGCATTAGAAAGGTTGAGAACCACTGATCTAGACAGTGGTGGAACAATGTTTGCTGGCAGTTTATTAGTTATTTTTTAAAAAACGAAACACTGAATCACACCAGGTTTACATGACGGCTCACATGTAGACTTGCCTTCCCTAGTTCCAACTAGAGTGGACTACAGGTAGTCCTCACCTTACGACCACAACAGAGCCAAAAATTTATGTTGCTAAGTGAGACGGTCATTAAGTGAATTTTACCCCATTTTATGACCTTTCTTTCCACAGCTGTTAAGGGAATCGCTGCACTTGTTAAGCTAGGAACACAGTTGTTAAGAGAATCTGGCTTCCCCCTTGACTTTGCTTGCCAAGAAGTCACAAAAGTTGATCGCGTGGCCCCGGGGACACTTGCAACTGTCCAAGCCTCTGAATTTGGATCACATGATCATGGGGAGGGGTAGGCAACCTGGGCTCTTTTATGACTCGTGGACTTCAATTCCCAGAATTCCTGAGTCAGAATCAAGAAGCATGGCTGACACAGGAATTCTGGGAATCGAAGTCCACGAGTCATAAAAGAGCCAAGGTTGCCTACCCCTGGTCATGGGAAAGCTGCAAAGGTCATAACTGTGAAAAATGGCCATGTCACTTTTTTCAGTGCCGTTGTAACTTTGAACAGTCACTAAATGAACTGTTGTAAGTCGAGGACTACCTATACTAGTATCACAATTCTTATTGTGGCCAATCCCTATCCCACCCCTTGGAGAAACTAATCCACAAATAAGCTAGAACAGCGGTT